AAGTATAGATATTAATTTAGATATAAGAATAGATATAAATTTAGATATAAGTATAGGTATAAATTTAGATATAAGAATAGATAATAATTTAGATATAATTTAGATATAAGTATAGATAATAATTTAGATATAAGAATAGATATAAATTTAGATATAAGTATAGGTATAAATTTAGATATAAGAATAGATAATAATTTAGATATAAGTATAGATAATAATTTAGATATAAGAATAGAAATAAGTATAGAAATAAGAATAGATAATAATTTAGATATAAGTATAGATAATAATTTAGATATAAGTATAGATAATAATTTAGATATAAGTATAGATAATAATTTAGATATAAGCATAGATAATAATTTAGATATAAGTATAGATATAAGTATAGAGAATAATTTAGATATAAGTATAGATAATAATTTATATATAAGAATAGATATAAATTTAGATATAAGTATAGATATAAATTTAGATATAAGTATAGATAATAATTTAGATATAAGTATAGATAATAATTTAGATATAAGTATAGGTATAAATTTAGATATAAGAATAGATAATAATTTAGATATAAGTATAGATAATAATTTAGATATAAGAATAGAAATAAGTATAGAAATAAGAATAGATAATAATTTAGATATAAGTATAGATAATAATTTAGATATAAGTATAGGTATAAATTTAGATATAAGAATAGATAATAATTTAGATATAAGTATAGATAATAATTTAGATATAAGAATAGAAATAAGTATAGAAATAAGAATAGATAATAATTTAGATATAAGTATAGATAATAATTTAGATATAAGTATAGATAATAATTTAGATATAAGCATAGAAATAAATATAGATGTAAGAACAGATAATAATTTAGTTATAAGTATAGATAATAATTCAGATATAAGTATAGATATAAGTATAGATAATAATTTAGATATAAGTTTAGATTATAATTTGGATATAAGTATAGATTATAATTTGGATATAAGTATAGATATTAACTTAGATATAAGTATATATAATAATTTAGATATAAAAGCCCCCTGAAAACCAAAAACCCAAAAAAGAACGCAGTCGACATCTGCAGGTCTGCATTTGCAGAGCGGTAAAATTGAATTGAAACTATTCGTTTATAATTGAATAATTTTACAATAATTAGATATATATATGAACTGATATAAAGTTAATTCCCGAGATTACCATATAAATTCTACAGACTAGATTTACACAGAAAAATTTTTGATTTTTGAAAACCCCCCCAGATTGAAATTCTAAATACGCCACTGAATATAGATATAGATTTAGATATAGTTAGATATTTATTATCTTATTAATACCAGCTTCATTTAATAATAGAGATCCATTTATCCATTCGTGTTCCCATTTAAACTGATTTATGATTTTATAATTAGGATGTTTATTTGTTATATTTTAAAATTTTATACAACTCAACATTTTTGTTTATTTGCGACATATTATTTTTAGTGAGTAACTTGTCGTCCTTACTTTCCACTTTGGTCTTAATTCCCTTTTTATATTTTCTTTTTGTCTTTCGCATTTTTTAGTCCTGTCCTGCTCTCTCCTGTTCCTTGAACTTTTCCCTTTTTTCCGCCCTTCACGTTTTCTTTGTTGTTGTTGTGTTGTGTTGCGTTCTGTTGTTGTTGTTGTTTTTGTGTTGTGTTGTTGTTGTCTAGCGCTTTTTCTGTTGCGGTAGCTATTTGAAAATTTTTAAAAGATGCTTTTAGCGGTAAATAATGAAAAGTTAAAAAGCCACATCAATGAGATACATTTTTCTTACTTGCTTCGCAAAGTGATGGCGATGAGGTTTCCACTTCTTTTTTCGTTTATTTTTTTTCGGTTCCTTTTTTTTCGAACCCATATGCCTGTATTCAGGATGAGGTAAAATGTGTTTTCAACGCAGAGAAAACAACAGCAGCAATCATTTTCCCATCTTTTTTTGTTCTGCGAGGAAGATTTTCTTTCGTTCTTGTCGTTGCTAAAATTGAAAGATGTCGGGCCAACCGACAGGAAAAAAAAAAAAAAATGGAAAACTCGTTGTTATGGCTGTGGCTCTTTGTGTGTCCACTCGCTTTACTTCTTGTTTTTGGGGTTTTTCCTTGGCTCTTTGCTGGCTTTGTTGGTCGAATGAAATGGCATAGATAGATGGAAGCCTTAATTGATGTTATGATGATCACCATTCCTCCTCCTTTTCCACATCCCCCTCCCCCCTTTGACCGCCCCCCGCAAGCATGGCAATATCCCTGTGTGTTCGGTGATATGTTCTTTGTGGCCAACGCTGCGTATGAGTAACATGCGAGCAGAGCAAAGGCCTGCGGCCAGTGGGTGGCATTTGGGTGGCATTCGGGTGGCATTCGGGGGGCATTCGGGTGGCGTTTTCTGGGTGGTGCCAGTTGCCTTTTGGGTGGCTGATGGGTGGTGCTGCCTCATATGCACTGGTTGTGGCCAACAGTTTGCCTCGCTTCGTGTGTGTGTGTGTGTGTGCGAGTGTATAAGTGTGTGCGTGCAGATACAATTTGTAATGATACACAAATTAGTATCCTAAATGGATGCTTAATAGCCTGCTTCACAGGCTCCCCTTTCCCCGCACCTTATCCGCACTCATGAGCGAGTATGTCTGTGTGTGTGTGTGTGTGCTAGTGTGTGTGTGTGTCTGTTTGACTTTGGGAAAGTACTTACACACAGAGCACACACTTAGTTGTGTTCGTGTGGCGTATCCTTTGACCTGACGTCGTGCATTTAAATGCTGACTTTAAGTCCTGCCGCTGCCATTGCAGTTGAAACATTTTATGGGAGTGCAGCAAAGGTGCTTTTAATGCTTTTACACATGAGAAACTAGAAGTGTTTTGATTGAGGAGCGAGGGGAAGAGTACTCAAGTAACCTTTATTAGTTTTGCCCATAAAAAACAAGTTTTTGTATGGTTTTTATGCTGTAACTAAATCAAAAAGAGACCCACAGCGAAAATAATTACCATTTTAAAATAGCTAACAACCTAACGATTTATTATGCTTTCCAGGCGATAAAAAAAGAGAATTACTCATTCAAATTTTCAACTTCTTGATAATCATAATATTTTTGCAAAATTTTACAAAAAATATAAATTCTTCCATTTGAATAGAAATTGATTAGGAATTCGATTTTAAGTTCAACGAGGTATGACATTCCATACTTGGCTAAATATTTCTGTTTTTAAAGTCAATTTACCTTTTTTAAAGGGAAAAATTCATTTATCCTTGTGACTTAATTTATATAACTAAAACAAAAATTGTTACAAATACAAACAGTATACTGTTTTGAATAGCTTATTTAATAAAATGAATTTTAAACACATTTTAAATCTTTATCAAAAATAAATACATCAACCCCTAGGACAAAACCTAAATAGCTGATCATAAAAATTTACAGCTGACCTTTTGAATAACTCACAATTATGTGAGGAAATTTGATTTATTAAATTGTTTAGCTTAATTTGTGTGGCATTTTTGTTGTGGGAAATGTTTGCGCTCCTGATTGTATTTCCCCCTTTTCCATTACTCCGTTTATTATCCCTTCCTAATAATATTGCTCCAACTTTCAGCTGGTGTTCATTGAAGTGAAGTCCTCGCTCTTTAAAATCCAAATCAGTTGGCTGCAGCGAAGTTGGCCAGAAACATATGTGTATTGTACCCAGTTAAGCATTTTTCCCCATTTTTGTTTTCCTTTTTCTCTTTTTTTTTTTGTGTTCTGCTCAAGAAAAAGTTTTAATCATTTCGACCCAGGCAAAAGGAGTGGGAAGAGGGGGGAAAAGTGAGCCCAACAGATACGATGAGTGGCCCATTTGGACCCCATTTTCAGAGCGCCTTAAAGCGGCGCCTCTCATCCTGCGATGAAAATAAAGGACGCCCCCACGAAAATGAAAATGAAAAAAAAACATCCTTAGTGCCAAACGAAACGATTCCGAAACGAAACGAAAGGAATGGAAAGGAAAGGAAAACGGCAGACAGGCGGCATTTGGGGACTTTCAGCTGAATGTATTGTTTTAAGGATTGCAGAGATACAGGACGAAGTGGATGGATACAGGACGACTGGATGTTTGGCTGTTTGGCTGGCTGAATGGCGGTGCGCAACTGCAGGCGAGCCGAAAGAAAGTGGCAAGAAAAGCGGCAACAGCGCTTCGTGCCCTGTGTGTCCTGAGTCCTGTGTCATCGACACATTTAACAAGGATTAATTCATTGCGCACGACTCCATTTTGGCGTCCTCCGATTGGTCAAATACCCTGCCGCCTTAGTTTCCACAAGCGAGAGTGAGAAGACTAGTGTTTCGAGCAGACAGAACATCACTGCCGCTGCCGACGTCGTCGTGTCCTGTTGCCATCTCGCCTTGTCTTCGCCGCTATTGCCATCTCTTTCTTCGCTGGCTGCTGCTCCTGGCGCTCAGAATTCGCATTCGATTCGAGTCGAGCCAGGTGGAGCAGCCTCTCTCGGATGCTCGCTCAGCCAGGATTAATTGTTTCGCAGGACTTTACTTTGCTCGCTAAAAACATCAGAAAATTCAACGAAAAAAATCCTGTCTTGCCAAATGCAAAAGTGTGCCACTTTTTGCCGTTATTTCCTTTGAAAGGAATGTGCCCGTCTGTTTTCGTTACTGTTTCTCTCGATTCTCTAAATTCAAATCCGAATCCGAATCCGAATCAAAATCCGTATCCGTATCCGAAAAGGACTCCGTTTCGAATTCGGACTGGCCGCAGGACACGCCACACCACTACAGCGGCAGAAGAGCAATGGCGTCGGGCGGCAGCGACTAACGAAATTAACCAAGCGAGTTAAAGCGAGACGGCTGTTGTGCGGCAGCTGTGCGAGCGGGAGCGCAATACACACAGCTCTCTCTTACACACACACACAGGCAGGCAGGGAGCTTCATTATTTTTTGAAAATTATTAGTACGACTAACGATTCGTGGTCTCACACAGACGCACACACACACACTCGAATACAGACAAACACACACACACACACAGAGTCGGAAAGTCGGGCGACGAGCCACTAACCACCAATCGTTCGCGCGCAGCCCGCAAATGTCCCCGCAGCAGGAGCCACCACCACCGCCAGGACACTAGGAAAAGTGGCAGCCGGAGCCAGCGAAAGCCAGCCAAAAAGGACGAGCAGCGACGTCTCTGCCGTCGAGCACATGATCCTTAATTTCGTTATAATTTTGTATGTTGCCTGAAATTGTATATCATTTTAAGTTTGATCGGCCGAGAATACGTATCGCCCCGTGTGCCTGCGTTAACCAGCCAGCAAAGGCAACAACAACAACAGCAACAGCAACAACAATAACAACAACCACAACAGTAACCATAACAAAGGACTCTAAAAAAAAAAAAAAAAGGACGAGACAAGAATTTGTTTGCCTTCTTGAAAACTCGCGCGCAACGCACAAAAAGTCAAAAAAAAAAACAAAAAAAAGAATAACCGAAAAAAGCACACACAAGGATATACTTCGTGGTCTTCTTGTGCTTCTTCTTCTTCTTGTTGCTCCTGCGAAGTCGAAGGCGAAAAACAAACAGCCATATAGTTGCTGCAGCGGCTCCTGGCACAACGGTTTACCAGGACATTCCAGCGGTCAATAAACAAAAGGAGAAAAGTTTCCCTTCGCGGTCAGAGACTAAGATATATTCTATATATATATCTATTATAAATGAATACTGTATTCCCCAGACAATATTAGTTGCAGTTCAACCTTTTTTTTGAATGTGTCGTGCCAAAGTTCATTTTTTTGCCAGTGCCCCAAAGGGAAAAGGCCGTCGGTCAGTGCCACAAAAAGTGCAAGCAACGCAATAACGGTGAAATCGCAATCGAAATCCTAATCGTAATCGTAAACGTTAATCGAAAGTTCCAACCGTAAATTGTTAATCGAAGAACACTGGTTGAACAACAAGAAGCGGAAAAAACGCAGGCTGTTTGGCCTTAAAACAAATAAAAAAAAACAAAAAATAAATAAAATTAAGTATATATATAATTCCTTCTTAAAAACGAGAGCGCGCTTTTCGCCGCGGACAGCTTCCAGTTGGATTACTCAATCGACTTCTTCAAGACGTATATCGATACGCAGCGTTTCTACGCCGGCCACAAGTTGGATTTCAAACACCAGAGTTGTGCCGGCGGCCCAGGATCCGGTGGTGGTGTTGCCGGTGGTGGCGGCGGGGGAGTGGGAACGGGTTTGGGCTTGGGTTTGGGACTGGGCTTGGGAGTCGGAGGCGTCGGCAGCAACACCAGCAACTCGGCGACGCAACAACAGCAACAGCAGCAGCAGCAACAACAGCAGCAGCAGCAGCAGCAGCAACAGCAACAGCAACAGCAGCAACAGCAAGTGGGAAACTCATCGAACGGCAGCAATTCGGTGGCCGCCTTGTCTCTAAATCATCCGCACGCCCTTGGCAGCCACGCCCACAGCAGCCACGCCCACGGACACGCCCACGCCTTAGCGGTTGCCCACGGTCATCAGCACGGCTTGTTGCAACAGCAACAGCAGCAGCAGCAACAACAGCAGCAACAGACGCAACAGTTGCCGCCGGGCGTTGGTGTCGCAAGTCCCCTGCAGCAGCAACAGCAACAACAGCAGCAACAGCAGCAACAACAGCTGCTGAATAACGGAGGAGGCGGTGGAACACCCACTCTGCTGATTGGAAACGGACCGAGTTCCACGGGCGCGGGATCGGGCAACGGATCGGTTGCAGCAGCCGCCGCAGCAGCCGCAGCAAGTGCAGCAGCAGCCGCAGCAGCAGCCGCCGCAGCAGCGGCAACAGGAGCAGGAGGAGGAGGAGGAGGACCAGGTGGAGGCGGCGGCGGCGGCTCATCCTCATCCGCATCGATATCCGCCTCGCTTTCCGCATCCTCGAACTCGGCGGCGGCGACGGCGGCGGCGGGGGGACTGCCACACGTGGCGCCACACAGCCTGGGGCTGAGTCCGCAGTCGAGCGCGGATTCGCAGCAGTTCAACATCTTCCCGGCGATCTTCAGCCGGCAGCTGAACTTCTCCGCCGGCGGCACCTCGGCGGGCAAGCTGAGCATGGACGAGCTGCGGCCGAATCTGGTCGGTGGGCTGCTGGGGTTGCAGCAGGGACTGCTGGAGGATCATGCCAGCATGCAGCACGGGGGCGTGGCGCAGGACACCAAGTTCATGTCCTTCCAGGACCAGCGGCTGATGGGCATCGGCGGCTCGCACGAGAACCGACTGCTCAGCCTGGCCAGCTCGGTGCAGGACACCCGGTCGCCGATCACCACGCTGGAGAAGTCCTCCTCCTCCTCGCTGAACCACCAGCGCAAGTGCAGCAGCACGCCGGAGGACTTCAGCGCCCTCTACTCCGGCCTGCCCACCCCCGGCATGGACTCGTCCTCGCACCACCACACGCCGGCCCACACGCCGCCCTCCCGGCTCTCCGACCACACCATCTCGGGTGAGTGTCCCCAGGGATCCCCTGGGAGGAGCAGGAGTTCCGGGTGGAAGAACCCACAGTACTGGCTCTTAAAACTCTGCGAGTCTCCATTCCACTCTTTAGATAAAGGGGATTCTGTGCAGCGGAAGTGTCCTACGAATCCTGGTAGTAGTAGTAGTGTAGTTAGCTATGACTTCTTGGAGTCCTGTGAGTTTAGGGAGCTTTAAGAGTATTATGTTATTCCTGGTACTCCCTATTGTCCAGACAGTTCCGGGTCCTGAAAAACAGTCAATTCTGATAGGGATGTAAAGCCAACAAGTCCTGTAACCCAGGAAGGTATCTGCATACTCGTACACAGAGTTAAGTATTGGATAACTCAGAAGTTCTTTTAATCAGAAAGTAGTGTGACCAGGGGTTTGTAAGTCGCTGCAGAAGAATCCAGGAGATTCATTCAATTCTTGGGTTCTGTGAGTTTTGCGTGGAGTGTGTGTCCTGGGAATACAGTGTATCCTTAGAGCTTTTTGAATACTGGAGGCTCTGTAAATCTCAGGAGTGAATGTGAATCCTTAGAGTGCTGTTAGTTCTGCGGATTCTTTGAATCTTGACAGTTATATGTTATGTGTTATATGGAATCTTTAAAGTCGTTGAGTCCTGGCAAATCCTGGAAGTCTTGTGCGCTAAAGAACCCCTTCGAGTCCCCTGAATCCGAGTGTCCCCTTTCCCTATTTTAGTGCCCCTAATCTGACCACAATAGCCTGGTTAGACCAGCTTACCCATTAACAGGAAATTATCCTTTGGCACCCGCTGTTCCACCCGCACTATCCGCACCATCCGCACCCCTTGCCCTCCATTCCATCCGTTGTCCTTTGTCCTTGATCCTTTGTCCTCCGCCTGTTTGTTGATGCTCGTTTCGCAGCTTCCTATTACTGCGTTTGCTGCCTTTTGTCACTGGCTTATCGCCAGTGTCCTGCTTTGTGTGTCCCATGTCCTGCGGCAGAAGGCATGTCCTGCATGGCCTGCACGTCCTGGTTGTCGACCAGTGCCACAAGGATTTCTGATGTCGGAGGGCGACAGCTGGAGTGCCGCCAAATCCCGGCGATTTTCCCCCGAACACAGCCCACTTAATTCACAATAAAGCCAATGAGCTGTCAATTTGTACTTAAGAAATCGGGTATTACGGGCTGCTTTTAAACCCGCTTTAGACACAATCGATCGCATTAATCTAAGAAACATTTAAGGCACGCGGCAAGGATATTTGTAAGCATATCAAAACATATTGACAGCTCTACTCATCTTTAATTAGCATAAAAACCAATTAACTAAAGCAGAAAATACTTATTTATTTCCCATCTTTGTTAACTTAGCAGTTTCCTTATCATTCCCAAACTATATTTCTGGTTCACATAAGATTCTTGCAATATCAGCGAAGCGTTGTGCATATTATTCAGCGACAAGTTTATAATAATAGAGTTAGGGTTTCAATATGGATGTAGTTTTTTTTCGAGATTTTTCCTCCTAAAATTTGATCTTTTCAGCCATGAAAGGAGAAATAATGCTCAGAATATAGAAAGTCATACCTCGTTGAATGCGTAATAAGATTTCTAATCGATTGTCATTTAAATCTAAAAGTTTTTTATTTTTGAAATTTTTTGCAAAAAAATGTGACCTTTGCCAAAAATTTAAAAATCACTAATCGTCATTTTCCACCCAAAAAATCATTTTTTTAGGCATAGAAAGGAGATAATTAATATACAGAATATGGAGTGTCATACCTCGTTAAACTCGTAATAGGATTCTTAATCGATTGGAAATCAAATCTGAAAATTTTCTATTTTTCAAAATTTTGCAAAAAATGATTAAGGTGCCCCTTATCCTTATCAAAAATGAGATAATTGATAAGAATTCAATTTTTTCAAAATCTACCAAAAGGGGATAGGAATTGTTTGGTTAGATTCTTAGCTCAAAATAGTTTTCCGTTCAGCTGAGGATCCCATTTTGGCCAACCTACAACCAAATAGCCCCTAAAATTGCGTGTTTTTGTGAAAAGTTTGCAATAACATGGAAGGGCTTTTTAAATAAGTCGTCATTTGAAATAAAAACTAACAAATTAGACTACACACCGTAGGAAATAGTCAGTTATTTAATTATATATTACGTTCTGGCCAAATCAGAGCTCTCAAATATTTGGCAAATGGCTAAGGAAAGAAACTTCAAAAGCATTACAAATCTTGATCTTTGCAGTGGTTACAAATATTATATTCCTTATAAATATGTCTATTCCCTTCTTCACCACCACAATCTTTGGCTTCCTGGCTGAATAATAATTGATCCTTGGGGAGGTGTTTATGACCACCCAACTCCTTTTTTGTGTGTGCATTTGGGCGCGTGCCTGATGGTTTTGACCCCGTTTGCCTATGCAGCGACCAACAGGCTGAAAACCGCCAACGGAACTGGCTAACAGCTGGCTCGGCGGAATAAGCCAAAGAGCCAAAAGCCAAAGTGCCAATAAGCCAATGAAGCAATACGTCAAATGGCCAAATGGCCAAAATGGCCACACCCACGCGGCAAGGTCAATTGCATTAGACGACGAGCGGTTTTCGAAGGACGAGATGCCGGAATGTCCTTACTTAACATAAATAACGATATTCGCTGGATTTTGTTTATGGCAGTGATTCAATTAGTGCGACGCCCTCCACAAATTTCCAACATAGTTTGCATTTTGTTAACGAGCTAAGCGCCTCAATTAAGCGCCAAAAGCCAAAGAACCAAAGAGCCAAAAAGCCAAAAAGCCGGAATCCCTCGAATCCAGAATCCAAAATGTAAAATGTTGAGTGTTAAATGCAAAGTCCAACGAAATGCGAATGAGTGCCCTACTTTGACCTTTGACCGGGTGTTATTTGCCGCCTTTTTGCGTTTGCGTTGGCACGCGTCAGGTAAACGACATTTTCTGGCCAAAAGGACTCGGGAACTCGGGAACTGGTGAACTCGGGAGCTCCGGAGCTCCGGACTCGAGGTTGCGACCCTCAGGTTGCAGGATATCCAAGCAAGGCTGCCTCGCCTCGATTAATGTGCCAGAAATTTGCATAAATTATCCCATATTGCATATTCATGCGACCGCCAACGTCGGCGATTCTGCGACTTTGCGACGTGCCGCTAGAATAAATACTCTGTCCGTCCGTCCGTCCGTCTGTCCGTTTTGTCCGTAAGTCCGTCCGTCCGTTACGAAACTTTTCACCTTTCCTCCACCTTCACGCCTCGCTTTCAGCTTTTCCAGCGTTCTGTTCGCATTTTCACCTCTTCGACAATGGCCGCCAACGTCTTGTGGCCGCACTGCGGTGTTGTCCTTTCAGTACCGATGTCCTTTGTCCTTTTGTCCCCTTGTCCTGGCAATTATGCAGCACTCCGCTTAAACGCCCGCCCAACACATTTTAATTTATGGGCATTTTGTAGCAGAACTTGTGTAATACAACACACCTAATGCAACATCAAGGTTGTACAAAAGCCTAAGAAATCTTCGGTATTTCTAATTAGAAGGAGAGATTTTTTGTTTAAGTTCTGGGAAATAATTGTCATAATATGGTAATAGTGTTGTAATAAAATTCTCAATAGCTTGGCTTTTATGTCTTAGGTATTTCTAATTAGAAGAAGAGATTTTTTGTTTAAGTTCTGGGAAATAATTGTCATAATATGGTAATAGTGTTGTAATAAAATTCTCAATAGCTTGGCTTTTATGTCAAAGTGAATTGAAGTACCTTTCTCCGAGAAAAATGTTTAGCAATAAAAAAATTTCTGATTTATTACGTTTATTGGATTAAAGAAGTAAACCTCATGCAGTAAGCCGTTTGGCACACAAATGATGGGAAAAGGAATATTGTAGTGTATTATAAATTATGATTTAGCAGATCTCTCAACTCGAAAAAAGATTTTGGTTTATTTTCGACTTCTGCCTTATAAAATTTAAAATAATATAATTCACTTTAAAAACTGTATAACCGAAGGATGTGTTGTGTGTGTATTTGTTTTCGGTGTTTGCAGCGGAAGGCGCGTTCAAGAAGCTGAAGCCGGAACCCAACAGCGGCCTGTCGACGGTTTCCGCCGGCATCACCTCGCCAGGAAGCGGATTATCCTCGCTCAGCCAGCACGCCGGCCACACCCCAACCACAGCGTCCTGCCCCACGCCCGCCCGGCGGAGACACCGCACCACATTCACACAGGTCAGTGTTGTCCGCCTCCTCCAACTTACAGCTTACAGCTAGCAGGGGCTCGGGGGCTCAGGGGCTCAGAGGTTCGGGATCCTCCGTCCTGCATCCTGGGCCACCAATTTAATTGGATTTCGTGAAGGTTACTCGCAATTAAAAACTTTGATGCCACAAGAGCACCAGAGGAGACAGTAAAAACAAAAACAAGAGAAGGGGGCACCCAAAGTACCTTGTTGAGGCTCTTTAATCAAGTCCAGACAAAAAAAAAAGAAAGAAATAAGGAGCAGGACTTGCTGCAATTCCTGACTGAGATAATCAAGAGTTGAGGGGTCGAAGGGGAGTCAGGATCTAATAATCTGTATCCGAGGAACCAAAAACCTATAAAACCCATAACACTGAAATTAACTCACAAAAAGGAAGTGAAATTTATACAGAAATAGGGAAGTAGACTGAAGACTGATGTATGGTTACAAAACTCTTTGTTTGTGAGAGATTTTTGTGAGCTTAAAAACGTTTTAAAGTCCTGCAAAATAAGTAATGAAAATTATAGCAGCTCATACTTGTTAATAAGTAATTTACGTTCCGAAATTAATTGAATAGATTGAACAACCCACCTATAATAACAACCTATATTTAGAGCAGCAGACTTTTGCCTTTAAGATTTAGGCAACTTGGCAAGCAGAATAAAAACCATTGGGCAAAAGTGAAGAGGAAATGCTAGGACATAATAATGAGAAATCCGAAGGGGGAAAGGGGAAAAGGAAGAGGGGGAAAGGGGGGTAAAGGGGGGTAGAAATGAAAAAGCACCGCACACCGAATTCGCCTAATTAAAATCCGCTTTATTTCAGGAACAATTAGCGGAACTGGAAGCAGCGTTCGCCAAATCGCATTATCCGGATATTTACTGCCGCGAAGAGCTGGCGCGAACAACAAAGCTGAACGAGGCGCGGATCCAAGTGAGTAATATATTCTATAAGGGTTTATCAATCAGTCATTAAGCGTGATATATACTATATCTCTATATATGTATACAGAACAAAAGTTGATAAGAAACTATGTATATTCCTTTCGCTGGAAATCAATATCAAATCAATATAGTTTTAAAAGTAATTTATTTAAAGGTGAAAAAGAGTTAGATAGAAACTATTTTAAGTACGAATACCTCGTTTTTGAATGGTACAAATTATATCTCAAATTGAAGTGGTTGCATCCATTCACTCTAATTGTTTTTTTCTGTGTAGCACCCCACAATTGCCGCCTGTTTGAACGTGGCCAATTACCGACTGCAATTTCAACAGTTGTTCGCGGCTTGAAGACACAATTTGAACAGAAACCAAATCGAAGCCATATCCTTGCATATCCTTCCGTATCCTATCCCGCTGGTGGTGATCTCGGCCACCGATTAGCGAGCGATTATTCCAATCGACTGACTCCCAGTGGTGTTGCTCTCAAGTACTTTTATTCCCCCCACTCCGATTCTGATTCAGATTCTGATTCTGGTTCAGAATACGATTTCGGTACATCCATAAACCCCCGACTGAGTTCTCCGCTTCGATGGATCGCCTCTGTTGCGCTTTCAAGTGCGCCGCGGTAATAATTAATTTATAGTTTTATCATGACTGCCAGACAAGTGGGTTTCCGCGGGTGTTCCGCCAGCCACCAAATTGCGAGGGGGAGTTCCCAAAAGCAGGAAAGGCGGAGAAGGCAGGAGGGTTGCTGACAGCCTCATCGGCCTCATCAGCTTCATCAGCAACATCATCTAAATTCAGCCAGTCCACATGTTCCTTCGACAACCGGAGAGAAAAAGCAGGGAATTGCGGTGTCGAATTTCTCGGCGCGGGATTTGTTTTATTCACTCCCCCAGGAAAGTGTTTTTTTTTTTAAGCAAGTGCACTCGCCTGTCAGCATTTTATTTAAAGAGAATCCGATACAGGTATCAAAGGAGTTTATAATTCATTTGCCGATAAGCCAGTAGATAAGGCACTTTTTATGAAACAGAAAACAATTTGGAAACCATTAAGTGCAGGGAATCATGTTATTCAATTTATGTGTGGGTAAATATGTTATGGTTTCCTTAAAATATCGAGAAAATCAAAATATCATTGCTAATATAAAGGATTCTAAGGTTATAGAGCTTAGTAAACCAAATGAATTTTATTCAAATTATAATTATATTTAAATAAACCTTTAAAAATATATAAAGCAAAGTAAATCGAATCATAAAGTAGTTTTCGAATCGAAAGAGATCAAGAGAACATTGTGATAACTCCGTCCATGCTTTTTACAACATCTTGTACAATATCCGATCGCAATCATTACAGATTATTACAGTTATTTTATGGCTATATAATCAGCACATCCCTCTTTCCCCTTCCCCAGAAAAGTTATTCGAACAACTGTTCTCGGTCAAATTAGACACTGCAAATGGGAGAGCTGAATGTTGAAAGCCCTGTCGCTTTATTATCGCCGCATAAACCATATTTTTGTGCAAATGCTCAAATATTTTGAGCTGGCCGGTGCAACCCCCTTCCGAGGACCTTTTCCGCACTTCCCCCGACCGGAACTCAGAGGTTTTTATGGAACTCTACCCCCTGGTAATCCGACCATTGCTCGACATCGCAACTTGACTCTGCCACTCTCGTGTTGACAAATTTGTCGGCTATTCGTGTTCGAATTTGAACTTGTATTCACTTTACGGGAAAACTGACGCTCCGGAGCGACGATGGTGATGATGATGAGGTGGGCGTGGGGAAAGGGGGCGTTCCGGGACACATCTGCCTGGAAAATCCGTCAGCCGGGGAAATATGTCTCATGAGCAAATTTCGAATTTAGCCAAAGGCACATCAGCATTCACTTGTCTCAGTGGTATTTCTTAATTAGTTATAGATTTTATTTTCTACGAGTGAGGGTTTTCTTTAAAGCAAAGAACTATAGCATACTTTCAAGGGAACCAAAACATAATCCGTTTTTAGAAACAACAAATATGGCAATGGAAGTACGCACTTTTAGTTTTGTATTTCACTTGCAATCCGGTTCTATCATCAAAAATGTCCAAAAAAACTACCCAAATGTGTAAATATAAATTTGAGTGGATGTTTAGACAGTTTGACGACAAGATTTTTGACTTTTTGCAACTCCGAATTCGGATCACAATTATTCAAGTTCTATTTATTATATTCACAATAATCACGAAAATATTTGAAGAGTTAAAGTTTTTAGAGGTATGCCACATCGAATGCAGTTTTTGTCATAATAAAATAATTAATTCATAGGATTATGCCAATTGGATTCAAATTAGAAAAGTTAAGGGATTAGAAGCTCTAAGATCTCATCTTTCTACAAATTCATTTTTTACTAATTTTTACAGGAGGGGGGTTTTAAAAATTTTAAAAAAATCGATTCAAAAATACAAAACAAACTCGTAATAGATCTGATCTTTTAGATAGTAAAAACAGGGGAATTTAGAGGTGTACCACTTCGGAAATGGATGTTGGATGGATTAGAAAAGTTATAGGTTTGGAAGTGCAGGTATTACCACCACTTTTCTGCAAACCAATTGTGACATAGAATCTGGATATTATAAATTTCTGAAATTTAAAGTGTGTCTTGTTCATAAAATCCACCTTAAAAACCAACCAGTTATCTCAAAAACCAATCTGAATGTACTTTAAGTTACTAATTTCAGTGTAAAGTTAGAGGAAAGGAACTTTACTTTAAAATGACAAACTAACAAATTGAAAGTTTGAAAGTCAGACAGGAGCGGATATCAATACCAAAAATGCACTTGATGGTTGTTTTAACAGAAAGAAAACATTTGTTCGGACTGCGCGATGATATGTTTACGAATTCCGATATCTGCGGATTATCTTCATGGGGAGGAAAGAAGAGCAAAAGGGGAATCGAGTTGCTAAGGCCCCAAATGCAAAGCCCGTAAACAAATAATCGTGAGAATTGTCTGGCGCTGAATCGATTATTTCGGTGTTTATTTGTTTGTAGTTTGGGGAGACTGGAATTTGTTTTGTTTAAGGCAGCACTTGTTATGCGAAACTTTGATACTTGTCGCCGACTTGAGGGTAAGCACTTTGGGGCAGGCGCCACTGGATATTGGGGCAGGTGAAATTTGAAATTCCAGGCAGACAAAACAGGCGACCAGCAATAATGGGCCTTCGCTCCATTTTGAAGGGGAACAGCTGGCAATTAGTCACCTTTCGCATTTCTAGGTCACCGCTGGCAGGGGAATCCTGGCAAGCCTGCGCCCCAAACACCTGCAAACTCCTCAGTGTCCTGAATGTCCTGAAAGTCCTGGCCAACTCTCTCTCCCACCCGATGAAAAGTTCATCTAACTTATTCGCACACGGCGAACAAAAGGCGAAGCGGGATAAAAATAAAAAATAGAAAACCAGACAAAACCTCTAAGCGCTGTCAAGTGAAAAAACCAAAAACGAGTAAAAAAAATATAAACCAAAAAAAAAAAGTTGAAAAAATAACAACAAAACGTTGGCAGCGGCTAAATTTGATTAAATGCTGAAAGTAAATTCAATTTGAATACGTTTAATTTTCATATTTCCGCCGTGGCCAAGTGGCCATGTGTATGTGTGTGTGTGCGTGTGCGTGTGCGTGTGTTTGTATTTTTTTTGTTGTTGTTTTTGTTTTTGTTTTTGTTATTTTGACCATGGTTATTTGTATTTATAATTTGCCATCAAATAATTAAAGCGCCGTCTGGTTTTAGTGTTTAGATCCCTCGACTTAAAGATGCGAAATAGCCATCGAAAATGTTGGCTAAAATCGAATTTCCCTTCGATTTTGTTTGTTCTTGTTTGGGCCCACCGATGTTCATACTATAGATGTGTGTGTGTGTGTGTGTGTGTATATATATATAGGAGTGTGCCATCAAATGTATCCTTAATTGAGTTTCCCCTCCCACCCACACACACACACACATATTCAGCTGGAAATTGAACGACAGATAGACAGAGCGCCATCGAATCATTCAGACAACGCATTTTCCACCCCAAAACTGGGGATCCTGCCATCCACACACTAACACATACGTACATGCCTGATGATGGTTAAGAGCATTATTTAGCAGTGTGTGTGTGAGAGAGAGAGGGAGAGGGGAATGGGAATGGGGAATGGGGAATGGGGAATGGGTGGGTGTCCTTGCTGGCATTTTTATGCTGGCAGCCAACCAAACGAAACCGAACGAGCCATAAAGTGGGCGCTGAAAACAACCCCCGAATGGAAGGACCTTTCGTTTAAAGGCTCCAACTGCAGGATACCCATCATCCCAGCATCCCAGCATCCCAGAATCCTACTCCCTGCCAGCCAGTGGAATATGTACGTGTACATAGTCATGGACAAAGATAATAATAATGATAAAATAAATAAGAAAATGAAAGGAGAGGAGAGCAAAGCACAAAAAAAAAAAACGAAAAACGAAAAAAAGAAGAAAGAAAATAAAATCGAAAGAGTCTGAAAGTCTGGGTGCTGCCGCCATTACGGATGGTCCACCACCCACTCCACTCCACTTCACTCCCATCCACTCCATTCCATCTCCATCTCCAATCCATACACCCAACCACCCATCACCACCCCATTTTGAGAGCCCCGTTATTCGTCCCGCCCGCCCGCACTGCGCTTAAGTAACTCAAAGCAAGCTGAGCTGCTTCCAAAATGTCGGAAATTTCTACACACCATCATCATCCCTGCACCCCTGCACCCCTGCAACCCGCATCCCCGAGCTCTGTCCTGTCCCTGAATCCTGCCAAGAAGCCCATCTTGTTGTCTAGTGCTCTGCTTTCATCTTGGCAATTTCTTTTTGCCATCTTGGATGGAAGGAAAAAACGCAGGCAGGCAGAGAAGGGGGGAGGACATCATCAGAAGCGAGGAGCGAGGACGAAGGACGAAGGACCAAGGACTGAGGACTGTCTTTAATAATATCTAAACAGAGCAGGCAACCCCACTACGCGACTCACTTAGATGGATGGCAGGTCCTGGAAGAGCAGGACCCTCGCAGCAAACAGCGTCGTCAACTTATTTTCAATTTCAATTTAGTAGATTTTTTCACTCATAAGACGTTGCCATCGTCCGGAGCCCCGAAGGCAACAAGACAGAAAAGAAAAGCAAAAAGGAAAAAGGCAAAAGGAGGTCCTTAGACCAGAGAGGATAGTCAAAAGGGGGGAAAGGGGGGAAAGGGAAACGGGGAAAGGGAAAAGGGGGCGGGGCGGGGAAATGCAGAGGTTGAGGATATTTTTCCATTTAGCTTTGCCTTCTTATTTCTTCATTAAGCGACGAGTGCTTTTTTTTCTGTACAGCTTTCATGGGGGAAAATGCTTAAAGGGAAAACGAAAACTTAAGTTCTGGCAATCCTTAAATATATTACTCATCCCATTTCGCATTTTGTGTTGCAGGTTTGGTTTCAGAACCGACGCGCCAAGTACCGAAAACAGGAGAAGCAGCTGCAAAAGGCTCTGGCACCGTCTGTGATCCCATCCTGCAACGGGATGATGAGGAACATCCAGGGCTACAGCGTTTCCCGGGGATACCAGCCGTATCCGCACCACAACACCATGAACCGCTATCCCCAGGTGCGATTGTCTATATAATAACCCCCGATTGTTCTCCCCATAACCAAGTGTATCTGTGCACTCCCGCAGGACCTCTTCCAAATGGGCGCCTCCTCGTATCCTGGGATGACGCAACCGTTCTCCATGGCCCACAGCACGAACATGGGATCCGTCGGAGTGCGTCAGGACTCGATGGGTGAGTTTCCATTCAGAGGGATAGTATTTCATTTTTTTTTGCCTTTTTCAAATGAATATTGGGAAGAGATTTCATGACTGTTTGGTCTCCCAATTTAAATTTAAAAACTTCCACTTATAACTTATAATAATTATTTTATAGGCTTTTGACTCTTCTGTTTAACACTAAATAAGTTTAACTAAGAATTACATTTCTTGTTCTCTGTATATCATCTTAATTATTAGAAATTGCATAAATTATAAAAGATATGTTTGTTCACTCACCTTCCTCCAGGACAGCTTGAGATATCCTTTGAATATTTCTATAAATTCCTTTAGCTTCAACTTTCACTTGCACTTTTAACTTAAAGCTAGATCGATCCTCGCCCTTTCGAGGCTCCACTTTGAATGACAGAAGTAAATCTACAGACCAGATTTTTTCCAATCGAAATCAAAGCTTATGATTTCGATTTTCCGATCGCCGCCGATTAAAAGAGCCGAGCTTTTCCGATCGAGCTTTGTGCATATATGTACATATGTATGTTTTCCGACTATCGTACTTATCCTCCCCCTCGAAATCGAAGTCCCCAATAAATTCCGCAAGTAAATTTCCGCTGAAGGCGACAACTTGGGCGCCGAAATCCGAAGTTGTTTATCGCTGGTTGGTTGCTGAGGCGAATATTGGGTTACCTGCCGTCGAACCAAAGGCAAAGCGATTCCCCTAATCAGGCGTAAACAAATCAAGTGCTAACCAGTAACTGGGGGAGGAGGTGGAGGTGGAGGAGAGTGGGGTAAAGTTAGAGGTCACCTTTCGACGGAAGTGAAGCAATGTATATTTCTTGGGGCAGAGAAATGAATTTCCGGCTGGAGAAAATGTTCTGCCAAGTGGCAAGGCGTATATGCGAATTTCCGCAAAAGGAAAGTGCAAGGCGTCTTTATATTTATAATATATATTATTTATGAATCTCCTTGACTAATGGGATTCCCCATTTGTTTTTATTGCATTTGTTGCAGGCATGTCGCCGGAGGACGAGTGGTACAACAAGAGTCTGTCCGCCCTGCGGATGAACTCGTCGCATCATCCCAACCTGTCAGCCCCAATGCTCCAATACCAGACATAATCAAAGACCTTTGACGACTTCTTTTAAAAGATCGCACCTTAATTGCCTTGATTCCGGGCCTTTAAAGTGCGGTGTTTTAAGGGTGAGTGCGTCAAGCGTTGAAAATCCTCAAACATCCACAAAAAACCAAGCACAAAACTCAAAACACAAAACTCAAAACACAAAACTCAAAACTCAAAACACAAAACTCAAAACACAAAACAAACCAAAAACTATTCTCTGTCTATATCTATGCATATATCGCTGTATATATGTACATAGTATATATACGGGTGTGTGTGTCAGTCAGTCATTAGTCTCCAGAATCGGGATCGGATATAGAGATATAGAGATTCGAATGGGCATCCAAATCTATGTCGCTTTTCAGCTCTGGGCGGGATTTACTCATAAGACTTGTTGATATTATTCGGTGTGTGTTTTTTTTTTGCATATTTTTTTTTCTTTGGACCAACCAGATCCAAATCGAAATAAGATAAGGCTTGGATGTAGAAAGCCAGAAGAATCGGAGGTAAACAAATACGAGCGGAGGATATAATGTAATAGGCAACTAGTCATAGAATCTAAGCAAATTGTGTATTGAGATTTTATCGTGGCATTATAAAAAGTAATATAAAAAGCACAAGTCGTGCGAATATATATAAATTTAAATAAATACCTATATACTAAAGTATGTACTAGCGGTAGGATAAGAATTCCGGTTGCTTGACCCCACCCCCAAAAAAAAAGAAACCAAAAATCAATGAAAGAAACCATAGATGGAGCCCAGTCTTATCTGATCTGATCTGATCGGATCCTATCCTAAGCTCCAACAACGCAACTCTTTGGTTGCTTTCACCGACTCGACTTTCCATTGCCTGCTCACTATCCATTTAAATATAGCTTACTCAACATACGACGTACATATAGAGCTCCACCTCCAACCATCCGAATGCCTGTCCAATCCATCCCTTTCATAAACTCCAAGTGCACAGTGAAATCGAAGCATCCGCAAGTCGAAAGCCCAAAAACCCAACCGAATAAAACCACAAACTTTCTAACTAATTCAAGGTGTGTCGAACTAATTATAAGATGATTTTTTTTAGCTAAGCAATGCATTAACGAGTTATATTTAATAATAATACTAAACGAAACCAAAACAAAAAAAAAAAAAAAACAAAACAAAACAAAAAAAAAAAACAAAAACTGAAACCAATAAAATACATCACCTATATATATTTAAATACAAAAAACAACAAGCCAAATGAAAACTACAAGAAGCATGTTTAACAAATTATGCCAGACACAGCAAGAATGGAAATAATAAAAATATTAAAAACAAATTGTTGCTCAAAGTATTACTTATTTATTTAGATATTTGGATAGATCATTGCTGGTAAGATTCAAATTAGATGGAAATGGTAAATATTATTTATTTGGTGGTAATTTGTAACTTGTGATCTATTTCAACTCCTTTGGAATCTTTTAATTCTATTTTAGCTCTCTCAACGTTTATAAAGTTTCATTTCTTTTTTCCATTATAGAAGGGTTTCCATTTTGGAGGAGAGTTCAATTTACAAATGTTTACGTCAAGATCAAATCAAGCTCTCTGTGGAAATTCCGACACTTGAGTTCGGTTTCCTTTTCGGTGCATAATTATTTTTGTTCTCTGGCAAGCAAGGCGATATCTTTCAGTTGGCAATCGATGAAAGGCCAGGCTTTCGTGTAAATAAATTCCAAGTTTGTTTTAAACCGCTGCCGATCGAGGAGTCAAGTGGGGAGAGTCCTGTGAGTCCTTCCGCATCCACACCCACATCCACATCCACATCCACTTCAGCATCAGCATCAGCATCAGCTCCTGGTTCTGTGTCCCCGAAGGATGTTCTGCAGCCGACTGAAGAGGCTCTCCCGTTTGGGAGGCGAGGTGAAGGAGAGTTCCTGCGACGAGATGCTGCCCCAGGAGGCGGTGCTCCTGAATGTCTACGACCTGGTGCCCACCAACGATTACACCCTTGCCCTCGGCCTGGGATTCTTCCACTCCGGAGTGGAGCTGTACGGCAGGGAGTACGGGTTCGGTGGACACGAGTTTCCGGTTTCCGGGATTTTCGAGATCGCTCCCTGCAGCGGACAGGTGGAACTGGGCGAGCACTATCGATTCCGCGAGAGCATCCTGCTGGGCCACACCCATCTGAGCTGCACCGATGTGGAGCACATCGTGGTCCAGCTGGGAGTGCAGTTCACCGGGAACAGCTACCACCTGACCAGCAAGAACTGCAACCACTTCTCCAACAGCCTAGTGAACATCGTCTGTGGCCGGAAGATCCCCGGCTGGGTGAATCGATTGGCCTACCTGGTCGCCTGTGTTCCGTTCCTTGAGCGCTGCATGATTCCCAGTTCACCGCAGCGCCGATTTCACCAGCATCCCCGGCGGAGTTGAGTTAAATAGCACCAAACCCATTAAATATTGAATATACATAGTTGCTTTGCTCTTCAGCTGTATTTTTCATTTGAATATTTGCAAGCAAACAAATCATTTTAAATGTTAAACGAACATTTACTATGTTTATAATTGAGTTGTGGATTTTTTTAAAGTTAGATTGTGGCAACATTTTAAAACAAACGAAAACATAAGACCATATTTGCGCAAAAAGGTATGCTTTAAAAATTTTGTAATTGACCATATTATAATTCCAGGATGTTAAGTAAACGTTTTCTTGTTTCAATTTTTAACTATTAAGATTATTCAAAATAAAATAAATAATTTGGAAAAAAAATATGAAAAATGCTCATAAACGATTTTTTTAAAGCCTTATTGGTTTTTGTTTATATATGTAGCAAGCAGTTAGCTATTCTGCCTAAAAAGTGTTGACCACTTCATGAAAAAGGATAAAAGAAAATACCACAAAACAGTCATACTGATATTAAGGATTATTATGATTCACAAAATTTGGTGTTCTTGGTTCAAAGATTAACGGTAAAATGGTGGCGCTTTTTTGTACCAACAAGTATGTATGTACATACATATGCTAAAAAGAAACAGAATGATTCGCCCAAATATATTTTTTATTCAAGCCAAACTCACAGTATAACAAACCTCCATTGCAGAAAAAACAAGCCATTTGTGAATTATATTTATATTTATTATTAACAACTCGTTAGAGACCGACTTTCGTTAGCCGAATCCGAGATGTGTAAACTTCTTATACAGACCCTTTTGCTAAGAACAGGGAAATCGAGTTTCATCGGCCAGTGGACGCTTAGGGTTCTAGAATTCAGTAAGATTGACGTGAATTTGTTTTCTTAAACGAATACCGCTGGCTGTATACAGTTTCTTGCCCAGTTCGTTTAGTTACACATTTTCATTAGCCTAACAGAAACTCGTTGCCAAAGTTGTTTGCATCGCGTTCTTTCAATTTTCTGTGGTAGTTTCGGTTAAATTTACGACGCTTCTTGCCTTCAGGCGACTCCCAAGTAAATTTTATTATACGCTAAATTATGCCACGAAAAAAAAATATGACAGTTAGGTTAATAATTTACACGTGCATAGCTCGTTAGTGTTAAAATTATCATAATTTTACATACAAAAACTCGTTCGTGCGCACCACTACTCATAGGAAAGTATCTTACCCGCTAAGCCCATTTAAAATAATCTCTGACCTATACAACTTTTGTGAAAGATACGTCAGCTTTGCCCCTCATTTACCCAACTTCATGGTGAAAGATTACGTGCGTGTGTTAAAGTATTCATGTTTTACGATCGATCTCCGATTTACAGGCGCAACGACACCGATTAAGTGTTACCAAAAACACAAACAAACTAATTTCTACAAGCCTAGATAAAGCCGTGATGCTTTTTTTATAGTAAATGCGTCCCAAAAAGTTCTAGACAAAAAATAATAGTAAAATTAATAATATTAAACGAAACCGGCGAGCAAATGTACGGCAGGCTGCAAAATTCTTGGACGTGGTGTGTGGGTGTTCCGTGGAGATTTCACGCCGCTTCCGCCGAACATCAGGCTATGTTATGTACCGGTGTGTGTATATATATATTCATGCTTTTTAATATATATATCGCGAGTAGAAACATCCAACGGCGCGGCAGGGATCGCCTCACTTGCCAAAGAACGCTGCGACGTGGCTGAGTGCGATTTTCTTGGCCGGTGGCTGCTGCTCGGCGACGGTCTATTGGGACCAAATAATAAAAGCTATTAGTAATGGAGATCTTAGAAGGAGCAATCCTACGGTGAACCCACCAGAACAGTGCTATCCCGCTTGCCCAGCGGAGTTCCAGCCGCACTGGCAGGCGCTGCAGTTCCAGTTGGCGGAGTTCCGGCGCTTGCGGGATTGGTTTTCAGTGCCGACGGCTCATCGCTGCCGCCTTGGGATTTGGTTTCGGGCGCCGTAGTTGCGCTGGACAGTTGGGAAGAGGAGCTAGCAGCTCCGGTGGCTAATCCGCTGGTGACCACATCGCTGCTCGAGTTTGTGGCCGTGTCGGACTCGTCTGTGATCGTGATTGTAGCACTGCTTGGCGCCTTGTTGCCTGGTGAAGCAGCAGTCGCGGCTGGGCTGGAGCTCACATTGGTTGCAGTAGCTGGAGTGGCCTCTGCTCCAGCCTCCCCAGCTGCAGCACTCTTGGTCGCCGGCTCCGGCTTCTTGGCATCCTCCTTCTTCGGCAGCGATTCCTGGAGCGCTTCAACACCGTTGTTGCTCGCTTCGGTGGACTGTTTTCTGGCTGGCGTCGCACTCGCCGCTGCTGCAGTTGCTGCGGAATCAACAGCACTGGGTGCCGCCGCAGCGGCAGCAGCAGTTGTCGCTGCTGCAGTAGCTCCAGCTGTTGTTGCTGCTGCTCCTCCTGCTGCATCGGCCGCAGCTGGTTCGTTTTGGTCCTCCGCACCAGACTCCTCCGACTTTCCAGCCTCGTACTGCTTTACGATCTGGTCCAGATTGTATCGACGCCGATTGTTCAAGAAGAAGGTGCGCACATGCGCCTCCGTTTTGGTGCTCACCAGCTTGGCAATCATCTGAAGAAACAGAAAAGAAATTAGTATTTCAATTCTAAGTGGTTTAATGGTTGTCTGCTTACAGGAAAGTTTTTGCCGTATTCGCGGAGCGCCATTAGAGCGATTTGAATCTCTTCCGGCGACCAACGGGCGGAGATGCGTGGCTGAGCTGTTTCGGTATTGGCCGCCGCTGGCTTGGAGACCACATCCTCGACATTTATGGAATCGCACTCCTTGTCCAGCTGCTCCATCATCTGCCTATTCTTCTGAATCTGAAATGGGTCAGGGTGCAGGGGGGCATTCAATTGAATGTTGTCAGTGGGTCCAAGTCGTACAATTGGCTCGTGAAGTGTGTGATTGTGTGTGTGGATGGGTGGTGTGTTTGTTAGTGAGTGCGCGTAATGATCTCTGATTTGTGATGCCTTCACTCGCAGGTTCTTAAGTATTAGTTGGCCAAAATAAAATGACTCGATATACCATTCTCCATTTACGTATACAAAATAATAATCTTCTTATGGACTGCTTATACAACTGACTTTTTATGGAACATGCTAAATTTCTAATACCGAAAACTTTTTCGTTATCATTTGTTTGAAATATGTTTAGAATTTCAATATTGGTTTCTGGATAGTACATTGTGATTATAACCCCTATCTGAAAGATTTCTAACTAAAACCCAACCAGTCCCGAAAATAAGGTTTTGAAGCTTCCTCCCGAAAAAATCCTACAGCTAATCAATTAAATGGGAATGAGGGGAGGGACTAATTCTCTCCTGCAAATCGCTTACTTCGGCCATGAGGGCTGTGATCTTGCGATCGCGTTCCGCCAAATAGACGCTGGGGTTCTTGCAGCTGGCGAGGGCAGTGAGATCGTCGTGGTTGATGTACATGCCCTTGGGCGGCTTGCGTTTGGATCGGTCCGCGGTGGCGGCGCAATTGTGTGTGGATCTGCGAGGAGCATTGCCCTCCGGACCGGAAATGGGACGCTTGTTGCCCGTTCGCCTTCGAATCGAAAGTTTTCATGTGTTTTTTTTTTTGTGACAAAAGTCAAGTGAATGCAACGTTTTTGAAAGTCGGGTTTGGAGAAAAGATTCGAGAGGGGGTTGTGGGGGGAAAAAAGAGATAGAAAACTTGGCATTAGGTCTTGCTGATCTTCCGATGCTATATATATCTACCTCCAGTGGGCGTGGCAACTCTTGCACATTCGACCCAACGGCGATTCGTGCAGCACGTGGCACACCACGTTGCAAATCTTGCAAAAACCGCCAACAACCATGCGACGCAAGTTGTCGGCACCGAGTTCGCCATTGTTGTTGCCGCCGCCATTTGTGGCGCCTTCGATGGACTGGCCAAGGACTCCCAACACCTCATCGCCCTGAACGTTGTTCCCCGCAAAGATGGACAACTGCTCCGAGTCCAATTCGTTGTTGCTCGTGTTGCTGCTGCTGTTGCTGCCACCGCCGCCGCCGCCGCCGCCGCCTTGGTTGTTCTCATCCCCATTGTTGTTGTTGTTGCTGCTGTTGTTGGTATGGTTGTTGCCGCTGTTGCTGTTGCTGTTACTGTTGCTGCTGCTGCTGTGATTGTTGTTGTTGCTTGTGGTGACTGTGTTTGCGGGGGAATTGGTGTTGGCTGAGTTCGCGGTGGCTTCTGTGTTTGTTGTACTGTTGCTATTGTTGCCTTGCCCCTTCTGCCACAACAGGATTGCAACGATGTGGGAATTGCAGCAACAATCATTATGAATATGAAGCAACGTTTGTTTGGGTATGTTTGCATTTTTCGTTTTTCAAATTGTTTTTGATTTGATTTGATTATTCGTTTTCGATTCGGACAGTTTCAGGTCGGGTTATTGGTTTAATGGTGTATTTTGATTGTTGCGATTTTTGTACAGTAAATGCAAAGAGAAGAGAAAAAACGTATTTGGTTGTTGCTTTAGTTCAGTTGGTAACACTTAACAATTACTAGATTGTATTTGGGTTGTCTGTTGTTGCTCTCCTGGTTGATTTTTTTTTTTTTTTCATTTTTTATTGTCAACGGAATTTTTAAACGATGTTTTTTCGCTAGTACGTTACGATCTTGCCACGCTCTCTCATCCCAACACCCAAACCCGAACCCAAGCACCCTGAAAAACAATCCCGATCCCTCTCTAAATGCCAATATAAAAAAATAAACGAAGCTCCTATATTTGGGTATAGTTAATCAAATACCAAGTTCCAAAGATTTGCTTTCTTTTTTTCTAAGGGATCTCATATCTGAATAACAGAACCTAGTATCCTTGACTAAAGAAAATATAGTTAACGACTAAACTCATAAACGAAAGGGGACCGCTGATTTTTACATTACAGTTCTGTTCGATTTGAAGCAAGGCAATCAAAGAGATCAGAAATCCGATTCGAATGTCAGGCAATATAGGAATCTTATGCCATACATGTGTATACAATGGTAGATATAGAAAAGTATTCTGTAAAAGCGTTTGGGAACTGGGTGGGTTTGTGAGGGTTTGTGTTGGTTTGTGTTGGTTTGTGTTGGTTTGTGTTGGTTTGTGTTTCAGGATGCGGGAATGAGTGAAAGTTGGATCAGATTAATGGATGTATGCTATGTGTAGGTGTTTTTGTGGATCTGTGTACATAAGTGCTGGCGAATGGATAACGATTTGAGGGAATTATCGAACAAAAATACAGATGGAAACGAAGAAGCGAAACGAATCTCTATGAATAAGAAACACATATAAATTGTTGGTTGTTGGGTTTTTGTTTAATCTTTTTGCAAACAAGATATGCATTTATTAGGATTTAGCATTAGGTGTGTTGATGATCCATCATGATTATCGTCTGTGGTTGAGTGAGCTGGAAAAGGGAGATAATGCCTTCCTCCTTTCCACTCTCACTGTATACAAATATGTATAATTCTACATAATTTAGGTTTTGCGTTATATACTTTAATAGTTAAATGCGTTATTCTTAATCAATCTCATTTTATAAATTACTATTTTACGTATAATAATTTACCATGCTATTTATAATTATTTAAAAAAAATATTTATAATTTGTATATACTATTTATATAGGTGTATGTGTGTGTATGAACAAAGAACAAATCGTTTTGTTGCTTTGCCTTAGTCTAGTGCCGACCTGATTAATTTGCTGATTTACCGCGATGATAAAAAAAATCTCAAGCAAATCAAACAAATCCGGTTAACCTCTGCGCAATACATTATCGCAACTTCTCTGTGTTTGCAATCTCTCTTTCTCTCTGTGTACGAACGAAAATGTATCATTACTTTGTTTATAAGTCTTATAGATGCTGGTCAATTATTGTTTTTGGTATTCGTTTGTTTGTGTGTGTGTTCGGGTATTGATTTAAAATTTTATGAGATGTATGCAGGCACGGCGATTATCTGAAAAATAACGAACCAGACTTTGAAACGACATACATCGCTGGCTAAAAATGGGGAAGAGCCATAGTGGGTACAGTCCGAACTACAAACCTTTGGCAAGTCGAGGGATAAAGGATATAGAAAACAAAAAAGCCTAGGATCTTAAGTTGCTTTAAATCTTGTTAAACCTTTCTTTAAGTTTGGTGTTTAACGCTGAATGAAATAATTAAATCTCATGATTTTCCATTTCTTGTTTAAAAACCTGCTAAGGCTATTTTGTGTTTGACAATTTTAGGCATTTACTTGGGTCTCGAAGAAAACAATTTGTAGTACTTTTAGCTCTGAATTTACATCCGTATCCTAATCTTTGTGTTATAAGCTGCCCTGGCGCACATAATACTACTAACTTACTTAGTCGGTGGACTTACGAGGAGAGGCGAAACAGGAGCCGTCTCTTTTTGGCTGTGGTTTTTGTTCTCAAAGCGAGTGTGTGTATGGATGAGCAGTGTTTGATGTGATGTATGTGTGTGTGTGTGTGTTTTGGGAGCGGGAAAGGATCTTTTGGCTTGTCGCTTGGCTAATTCTAGCTGATAATTACCTTGTCATCGTTATCTGACTCCTCATTGCTGCCCACTTCGCTGCCATTCTCGGAGCCATCCTTGACCACCGCCTTGACGGTCTTCTCCTGGCGATCCATGGCGCTGCTGCGGTGGCGCGTCTTCTTCCACGAGTAGTAGTACTTCACCAAACTGGCGATTGATTTGTCTGGCAGCTGTGAAATGAGCAGGAGTTAGTTAAAGTAGCAGCAGAAGCCCACTAAACTGACCATCTGGCGGATGCGGTGGAAGCTCTTCCCGTGGAATTGAAAGGCCTGCTCGAACAGCACCTTGTCCTCGATAGTCCACTCGTCCGGAAAGGGTGTGAAGTTGGCCAGATCCATTACAGCCCGCTCCAGATCGTGTTTGTGCCAGAAGAGCATGCCCAAGGCCTGTTCGCCATTGTAGCCGTACTTCTCCTTCGCCACTGAGATGTACTCCTCCACTGAAAGATGATTAAAAAGGTAGTAAGTACATCACCAAAGGCAGTTCCTTAGTTTCTGCATACGTTTAAGATCTGGTATCTCCTTGGTGGGTGACCAAACTAACAGGGCCCTTTCATTCATTTGCTCGGGACGTCTTTCCACTTCGGGAACGAGTGGGGGACAAACCGCTTGGTAGTCGCGACCCACGCGGATTTTCTCTGTGGAAAAGGGTTTTATTTTATTAGTTAATGGTATTGGAGTCGAAAAATTTCGTAACCCACCTTCGTACTCAGATTGTTTCGCCTTGCTCTTTCCGTTGCGCTTGGTGGCTGAATAACAAGTTGGAAATAGTGAGTTTTGAAACACAAGAAAGGATTTCATTGCTAGCCACTTACAATTGTCATCATCGGAGCTCTCCGGCGTCCCGGCACCGGGCACATTTGTGTTGTTCTTCTCATTGGAATTGGCATTTCCGGAATTTCCACCGCCGCCTCCACTGGCCGCTCCTCCTCCGCCGCCAACCAGACTGGGTGTGTTGGCCACGCCGCCGCCTCCACCGCCTCCGGATGTATGCGTATTGGGACTGGGACCGCGCGACCTACGGCCGTTGCGCACCACGTCCGTGGTGTTGCGCTCTGCCAACACCATCTTGTCCCGGATGAGCTGGGCGCGCTTATTTTGCTTCTCCAGGTTGCTGGCTGTGGCCAAACGATTGCAAATGCTGCAAGCAGGAAGAACGCGAGGTATTTGTTAATAATTTGGACGATGCACGGATTTCCTCCCGTTGAAAAATCCACCACAAATGGAAACTCTTTGGAGCATTCGGTGCGAGAGTGTGCGCTTTGCGAGTCTCACTTTTGCCCATAACGACCACCGAGAAGTGCGCTGTCAAACAGATACATTCACACTGACGCGTGTGTACGCTCGCGTGAAAGTGTGTGCATGCTTGTGAGTGCGACGCGTGTGTGGGTGAGGGCCAAGCCAGCTGAGATTGCAAATGCTTACGGATCTTTGGTATAGGAATTGGGTGATTCCTTGCGAGATTTGTGCAATCTATATTAATAGTGACAGCGTCCACCTACCTGGTAGACTGGTGCCCCGAGAAGCACGCACAACCGAAAAATTGCTGACTGCCACACGGAGTTCAATGGGACTGCTTTCGCCCCGCTTACGTAGTTTAGCCGACTGCCGGGACTCGGAAAAGTCGGACACCACTCAACTGGTTATTAGTTGGCCCAAAACTGTAGACCACCGCACCAAACGGGCAGAACAACGGGGTTGTTGCGCGCAGGTAACCGAAAACCCAAACTCAAACGCGAGAAATGGAAAAAAAAAAACTAGCTCGCTCGCGTACCGTCGTCCGTGCACAGCGCACTTTTCCAATGACGACCGCAGTGCAGCTTTGTCTGTCGGTTGGACCGATTTTTCTTAAGCGTTTACCCAGCAGTTCCGATAGTGATCCTTTACAATTCGCGACTAGCACTACAGTTCGCGATCGAAAATTTATGCTCTTCGCCCCGATTAAATGCACCACAGGACGAGTTTTACGAAAAAATAGTGCTGAAAATTTGAGCGAATGCTCAAAGTTAATTTAAACTGTGGCAAGGTTGCAAGGGATACACTCGAAACTATCGATTGTCACGCTTCGGTGTATCGATTGCGGCGTCCTGCAAGTGTTGCCAGACCGCGGACTATGCCAAAAACGGATATTGTCTATCGATAACTGACCGTTGGGGGCGATATCGGTGTTCACACTAGCCGAAAACCTGCCCGATGCCGCCGCCAAGTGGATGCATTTAATTAGCAAGGGTAAGTTGCCGACAGGGTGGCAATCTTGATGCCCCCACTGTCTATCGGCCGATAAGCCGCAGATTCGCCAGATTTCCGCAAGGTGGCGACTACGGCGGGCGCAGACTAAATAAGACAGACTTTTTTCTATACAGTGCAAAAAAAACCGAGGCAACGCAATGGCTGCTCGATTCATACAGAAAATTGTAAGAGCCCCGTGTGTCTGTGTGTGCTTTGTGTGTGTGTAGGCTTTAAGTTGAATTGACCCGGCCACGCCCCCTACCCGCCCACATCGAAATCCCTAAAAAGGACTGCAGTTGATTACGTGCACTGGCTGACAAAAAGTACTAACATTGCGATTTTGTTTCTACTCCGAACGGTCCTGCCTGCTCCAACGATAACCAAACTGCCAATCAACCAATCTACCAATCAACCAACTAAATCAAAACCCACCGACAACAACACATTACGCAAAATACTTGCAGCTTAATCAATTGGGTTTGATAGCTGCGCGTGATGCTCCGGCAACTGTGACGCCAGCAACGAAGGTTGGTCTTCCCCAGCAGCACCGGATGTATCCGGAATCGGGGATCCTTGACCCACGATCCCCCATAAAAGGATATCAGCTGTCCTCCTTCCGGCGAAAATGAGCAGCAGCATCAGCATATTCGCATTCCCTTTACATAACACTCTCCCTCTCGCTCCCTCGTTGCGTGGCCGAGATATCGATAAACGCTGTCGAGTGGTTACCACCCCTCGCGAGACACCCACCACCCCACCTCCTACTAACGCCCGCGCAGCGTAAAAAACAGTTACCGAGATTGGGTTCGGATTTGGATTTCTTATCAACACCGTGGGAATAATTTATGCTCTCTAACCTCAACATTGTTGGATGTTTGGCGTGGAGGGGCTGCTGGCTGGGAAAGGGGAGGGGGCTGCAGCGACTGACGACGAGATTGTTGTTTTGGCATGACAACTTATGTAATCCTTCTAGATGTGCTGCCTATTCAGAGCTATTTTCCGTTTTATTTTGTTGAGTTTTTTCAACCCCTTGTAACCCAGTGACCTCCATTTGCAGGTCAACGCGACTCCCGCCGCCAGCCGGTCCTACTCCTCCGGCACCAAGAAGGTCACCCTAATCCCCGGCGATGGCATCGGACCCGAGATCTCTGCCGCCGTCCAGAAGATTTTCACCGCGGCAAATGTGCCCATCGAGTGGGAGGCTGTGGATGTGACCCCCGTGCGGGTGAGTGTCGTAATAACCGGGCCAAACCAAGCGCCAGTTCAATTTCAAATTGACCGCGCTATCGATGTGAATGGCCTTTTTGGCAACAGGTGGCAACAATGGAGGTTATTGGGGCGGGAAATTTAAAAATGAAAGTTGATTTCCAGGCAGTTATTCTATTCAGTAATTTCCAAATATTTTATTTTCAAATATGTTTGCTAGTTAGTGTAGCTTTTATAATTGTTTTTATATACATATATTATCAATATTTATTATAAAGGAGTTTCAACCAAAATGTTTTAATATTGACATTTTGCTTACAATTATTTTGAAAAAAATAAAATATATTTTACGAAAAATTCTTGTGCAGTCATATTATAGAAATCTCCATTAATTGCTCTTTACGTTCCCCTTTTTGTGTGTCATGAAAACAGGGAGCCGATGGCAAGTTCGGAATCCCACAGGCGGCCATTGACTCGGTGAACACGAACAAGATCGGCCTGAAGGGTCCCCTGATGACGCCCGTGGGCAAGGGACACCGCTCGCTGAATCTGGCCCTGCGCAAGGAGTTCAACCTGTACGCCAACGTGCGTCCCTGCCGGAGTCTCGAGGGCTACAAGACGCTGTACGACGATGTCGACGTCGTCACCATTCGCGAGAACACCGAGGGCGAGTACTCCGGCATCGAGCACGAGATCGTCGATGGCGTTGTGCAGAGCATCAAGCTGATCACCGAGGAAGCCTCGAAGCGTGTGGCCGAGTATGCTTTCCAGTATGCCAAGAACAACAACCGCAAGAAGGTGACTGTGGTGCACAAGGCAAACATTATGTAAGTCGGTATGGGGGAATAGTCCCTCCTATTCGTCGGTACACTCAGCAATCACGTGTGCGTTTCTCCAACAGGCGCATGTCCGATGGCCTCTTCCTGCGTTGTGTGCGCGACATGGCCCAGAAGTATCCAGAGATCCAGTTCGAGGAGAAGTACCTGGACACGGTGTGCCTGAACATGGTGCAGAACCCCGGAAAATACGACGTGCTGGTGGGTTAACTCGACCTTCTAAGTGATTATTGAGCCTATCTAATAATGGTGATCCAAATCAGGTCATGCCCAATCTGTATGGTGATATTCTGTCGGATATGTGCGCCGGTTTGGTGGGCGGCCTCGGTCTGACGCCCTCCGGAAACATGGGACTGAACGGCGCTCTCTTCGAGTCTGTGCACGGCACTGCCCCCGATATTGCTGGCAAGGATCTGGCCAACCCCACTGCCCTGCTCCTTTCGGCAGTGATGATGCTGCGTCACATGGAGCTCAACTCGTACGCCGATAAAATCGAGCGGGCCGCCTTCGAGACCATCAAGGAGGGCAAGTACCTCACCGGTGATCTTGGCGGCCGTGCCAAGTGCTCCGAGTTCACGAACGAGATCTGCGCCAAGCTGTAGATCATCCGCCACAAACTGTAGCAAGAGTATCGCCAACAACAGCAACAACAACAACAACAACAGCAGCAGCAACTGATGGAGCAGAGAGAAAAGATCGCCAGGAATATTGTGGAGAGGGAAGATGATGCAGTATGAACAACAGCAGTTAAACACTCGCCCCAAACCAAAAACTATATAGCAACAACTACCAACAACCAACATAACAACAAACACAACACTCACTAAACTTTGCCGAATGTTTCTTACGTTTTATCCTTTTCAATTTTGCCAAAATTTCCACGAAAGCAAGGAAACAACGAAAATTGTATAAAGAGAAAGCACTACCTAAAGTATTTTTACGTTCGAATACCTAGGTATATTATTTAATTTGCTTAGGCCAAAACTTGCAAGCGCTAAAATTCGTTAAATTGCCAATTTTACTTGCGGTAGTAAAGTATTTTTGTCGCCATCCAGCCAAAACCTTGAGTTATTATTGTTTATATAATTCGTACGCAAAAAGAGTAATGTTAATTAATTATTTATTGAATATTGATTTTCTAATTTGTTTAGTCTTTTGAGTTAAGTGAGCTCCCTTGTGCAGCGTGCAGCCGACCCACTTAAAGAAGGCAACAATTTTGTCAAATTCGAGGCAATAAACGTGTGAAATGGAAGCCAGACTAGTTGAAAGTTGTAAAAGAGTGTAAACGGTTACAATAACTTTATTTTAAACAGAACACAAATTAAACCTATTCAAACCAAGAGAGAAATACACAAATGCTATGAAATGAAAAGCAATTGTTATTAATAATTAAGCGAATTGTAATGCAAAATCATCATGCAATTGTTAAAACTCAATAAAGGAAACCAAATTAAATGGCTGAGCTGTTACTTAAACAGGTTTTGGCATGGGATTCATTGGATCCCTTTTTGTGCTCCACATTCAAAAACCTGATTTCTATATTATTAATTAGTTGTTTTGATTTACCCGCGTCCAAAAAAATAACATACATCTTTGTCGCACATGTTGCCTTTATTTAAATATTTAAATAGTTGCCAAGGCTGGGCAGCTCGAACTGCCATTCGTTCATTCTTGGCTTAAATTATACATTTTTTCAACGTAGAGACTGACATATCTTACACACATTGGTATAGTCATTTATGTTAATTAAATATAAGTGCGCTTCCTGCTCACATGAGTTTTAAACTAGGGTCCTATATATCCTGCGTTGCATGTTCTGTTCTGTTCTGATTTTATGTTATACGTCGTAAGTTTTGCTTTGGTGCTACTTCCTCGCTGGCTTCTCATTTTTGTTCAGCTTCGTCTGTTCTGTTCTGATAGATGCGAAATCTATGCGATGGTTATAAAATCGTTTACGAGCTAATGTGTTTCGGGCTCCCCATTATACATTTGCAATGTAAGGGGAGCCGCATCATCGAACTTAAAGTGCTTCTCCAACGAAGCAGCTAAAATATCTGCGATGACATTCTCGCTAAATGTCGTTGGTCGTCAATTAAATTCAACTAACGAAAAGGTACAGAAATACAATTCACAAAATACAATGCACAAAATACAATGCACAAAATACAACGCACCGCCTGCTTTGACTAAGTCTAACGAATAAAGCTCTTAGATGGTACGCAAAAAAATTGTAACAAAAATAAAGCAAATTAATCTTCAATGTGTGGACTGTGTGTGTGTGTGTGTGTTTGAGTGTGTTTGTTTGTGTGTGTTTGTATGTGTTTGTGGTGTGGTGCCCCATCCAAGTCTGGTTTACTGAAAGGGAGCGAACTGCAGCATATCGGCGACGGGAGCCGCCGACATTCGTGATGCAATGGCCGGATTGGTTACGGTGATGGGCAACTCCAGCGAGGTGGGCACTCCGCTGCCGTTCGTCACCCCCAGGACGGCCAGGCTGTCCTCCAGATTGCCCTCGACCAGCGGAGACACGCGACGCAGCTGCATGCTGGGATTCTCCAGCGTGGACATAATGGGCGTCTGATCGAGCAGCGCATTCGTTTCGTTCGTGCGCGCCGTTATCGGTGGTGTTAGGTGGACGTTCTGCGGAGCCATTGGATGGGAGAGGATCACCACACCGCCGGGATCGTCGTTGCCCACGTGCAGGAGCCCACCACCGATGCGCGTGTCGATGTGGAGCAGACCAACGCCAGCGTTGGCTGCATTCACAAAGTCCGTATCGTCCACCACCTGGCTGCCGGCGAGTGCCTGCGACAGCAGATCCGTGGCGGGCACAGCTGCCATCGAGGGTGCCACCGTTTCCCCGTCGTCCAACGTCATATCCTCCACATTGACCAGCTGCAGATCGCGCGCCTGCAAGTAGACTTGAGCTGCCTGCAGGATGTCGCGAGCATGGAGCACGGCTCTCAGGCTGCTGTTCGATACTCCTCCTCCCGAGCTGCTCGACCCCGTCTCGTTCACACTCAGCTCGATGCAGGAGTCCGGCTGCTCGGCAATGCTAAACAGCACCGAGGGATCCAATTCCAGGCGGTGGCCATTCACATTCAACTGCAGTATGTTCGCCTGTAGCTGATCCTCGGGCAGGGATAGCTCTTCCTCCTCGTTCACGAAGTTCCCGGGAGCCAAGGCGCTTCCCTCGGTCACCTGGCTGAGCGGTGTCATGATGCCCATCGAGTCCACCGGCGGCACAACGTCGTTGTCCGCTTCGCAAAGCGATAGAATTTGCGGCGACAAAACCCGCTCAATATCATTCTGTTGCACATCCGGATTTAGGTCAACTCCTTCGGTTCCCGCCTCCGTGTCCGATGGCTCCACCACCTGGGCCACCGCCTCGCCGCCCAGGAAATCAATGTCCGCAAAGACGGCGGACAGCGGATGACCGTCGGCCAGACGTGGTGGTTCCAGTAGCGCCTCCCGCGGCACCGGCACCAAGTGGTTCTTCTCGTTGTCCAGGTACAGGGCCACATTGTTCAGCGGCGTAAAGTTGTTGTTGTTCAGCGAGCAGAGCATGAATGTGTGGCTGTAGCCCGGAATCGGTCGAGTCATCACCGCGCAAATGCGTCCAGCGCACAATTGTGGTGGCTGCAAGGAATTGAAAGTCAGTGTTAAATGGGTCGAATGGTTGAATGTTCGAAAATGACTGAAGGAAGACATTACAGTTAAATGTTGGAATATGAAAGCCCTTTCCTCTCTTAAATGATTCTTTAGGGTTGTAAAAAGTTCTGCTTAAATAGAGTGGCAACATTAAAACGTAAAAAAAACATTACTTAACATAGGTTTTACATGTCATTTTGTTTTTGTTTTTGTAAAAATAACTGTCATAATGTCAAAAAAATAGACTTTTTTATCGATAAAGTTCTCCGTAATCTTTGACGCAAAAAACTTTGGACAAATTCTACCTTAGTCAATGTTGACTATAGCATTTTAAGGCTTTTAAAACTTAGTGTTTTAACAAAACTCAACAAATAAAATAAAAACCATAAACAAAAATAAAGTTCCTAAATAATAATGTTAATAAAACCTATTGGTTAATTGTTATTTTTATTGAGATAAACAAAATCGGTCAAAGTAGGGAAGGGCTTTATGGCAATGTCATCCTACGAATCAGATAGTCATCATCATCGTCACATACGTTTTCGGAACTTTCTTGGCCATCCTTGTCCTCGCACGAAGAATCCTCGGCTGTATCGCTGCGCGTACCGCTTCCTGAGTTCCTTGAGCGGCGAAGATGTCGGCGATGGACGCCGGATGACGGCGGACTACTGGCCACCGAGTTGCAGGCGCTCGAGCGCAGAGCCTCCATCTGCTGGCGCAGATCGACCAGCTGCTGGTGGGCCTTCTCCACGTCCTCGTCGCTGAGGATTCGGGTGCAGCTGTAGTGCCGCGACGGCTTCCTTGTGCCGAAGATAAATGCCTTCGTGGCCATTGGATTGACCTGCGGATAGCTGGCCAAGCGACGCGAGGCGTGGGACGACCTGATGGCTGGCAGGTCCAGTTCCAAGGCGGCCAGTTCCTCCTCCAGGGATAGGGGCCTGCCCAGATCCTCATCATCGTCGTCTTCTCCAACGAACATCATATGCTCGTCATCGAGTTCATCAAACGCCTCCGGTTCTGGTTCCGGTTCCGGTTCCGGCAGAAGTCCAGGGGACGGGGTCAAACGGTGCCAGCGTTCACGGGCCAGCCGACTCTTCTCCACGCTTCGTCCACTGGCCACATCGGCTTCGTACTGACGGAGCAGCTGCTGCTCGCGTTCCTTGAGAAGCACCTCGCGTGCATGTGGCACAAAGCGTCCCGCTCCTGGCGATTGGCGGCCAGGAAGAGAACGGGAATTCTCCGCATCGATGTCCATTGGCTCCTCCTTATTTTCATGCTCGTTTCGTTTTGGTTTCGGATTCTCTGCTGGGTGATCCTCTGCGATCTTCTGTCCAGCTAGATTCTCATCAGGTTCTTCACGAGGTTTCTCCTTATTGCGATGATCTCGCTTCGTCTTTTTGGGTTTCTCTTCCTGTTTCCGCTCCACGAAATTCTTTGCAGCTAGATCCTGATCAGGCTGATCCGGATGTTTCTCCTTGTTTCGATCGCGTTTCTTCTTTTTTGGTTTCTCTTCCGGTTTCGCCTGCTCGATTTTCTGTCTAGTTAGTTGAGGTGCCTCAACAGGTTCGTCCCGTTGTTTCTCCCTATTGCGATCTTTCTTCTTATTTGGTTTCTCTTCCCGTTTTTCCTCGACGAATTTCTTTTCAGCCAAACCAACTTTTGGTTCGTCCCCATGTCTCTCCCTGTTCCGCTTCTTCTTTTTTGGTTTTTCTTTCTGATTTTCCTCAATGAATTTCTGTTCAGATATACCCTCATATGGGGTTTCCCGATGATTTCCCTTGCTTTGATCACGTTTCATCTGCTTAGGGTTCTCGCCTGTGATTTTTACTCCGACCAGAACCTCATTTTGTTCATTCCGATGTTTCTCTTTGATTCGATCGCACTTCTCAGGCTTTGGCTTCTCCTCCTTGTCCTCCTCCACGATTGGCTTTCCAGCTAGACCCTCATCATTCTCATCCCGATGCTTCTCCCCATAAGGATCTCGCTGCTTGTATATTTTCCTGTCCCGCGACTGTTCATCATCCACATCCGGAGGCTGGGATTTCGGTCTGCGACTGATGTTGCTGTTGCTGTTGCTGTTGCTGTTGCTGTTGCTATTGCTATTGCTGTCCGATGAGTGCAGACTGCCGCCGAAGGGTTCGAACAAATTGGGCAGCCGAATGTCCTCCAGGATGAGCACGCCACCGCGCTGCACCGGCTGTGTGGCATCCACAATGGCCGCGTGGATGAGACCAGCACCGGAAGCCGAGCGCTGCAGTTCGCGTGCCTCCTCCGCCGAAATGACCGCAATGTTCGAGGCAATCGAGCAACTGTTGCTGGAACTCGGCTCCGGGGAAAGTGGTCTTGGGCCATGCTCATTCGAACGACTGGTGTGTGAAGTGCTGCTGCTCGAGTTGCTGTTGCTGCTGCAGCTCAGCTCCTCCTCGTGCGGCAACTGCGGCTCCTGCAGCTGATTCACCTTCGCCTTTGAGCCACGTTTCAATCGACGGCTCAATTCAGTCTTGGATTTCTTGCGCCGCTTGCTGCGACTGCTATTTGAGTGGCTGTTGCTCGAGCTGCTCGGTCTGCGCTCTGCGCCATTAAAGATGCAGCTTGTCTGCCCCTCGGGCTCCTCTTCCTTCTCCACCTCCACCTCCTTCTCCTCCTCCTCATCACTAGGCATCACCGCATTGATCGCATCTTCTTGGGCGCCTGCTGCAATGGATTTGTTACGCGACTTGAAGATGCGCTTCTGGCGGTCCTTGTTGTGCATGCTCAGTTGATCGACCGCCTCTTCTTCGGCTTCTTCGATTTCCATTCGCTGAGGCAACTCCTCCTGCTTCTTGGAACATTGGGGTGGCTCTGCATCCACTTCAACGGCTGCAATAGTCGTTGTTTGAACATCTCCGAAGCCCTTGAAAAGATCATCGCCTGTGGCAGGCTTGCTTTTCTTTGGCTTTTCAGCCTTTTCCGGTTCCGCCTCCACTTGCGGCTCGTCAGCATCCTCCTCCAGGTGCGCCTTGCCATTGGCATCCGGACGATTGGTGTTGGTGCGACGCCTGTAGCTCAGGCCGTTCTGGCCATCCTGCTTCTGCTGCTGCTGCAAGTCCTCCTCCTCCTCGAAGTCAAAGCAGGATGCGATGTTGCTGAATGTCTTTGACGATGACTTGGCCCTCTCGTTGCCATTTCCATTGGCTTGCGGCGGATGTACACTCTTGCCGCGCTGGCGCGGCACATCCTCGACGAAGACCACACTCTCATTGGAGCTGGCATCGCTGTCCTGGATGACAATCGTCTCGTCCGCCGCCATCTGGCTGTCCAGATCGAATTCCTGCATAACCACATCGCGTCGATCCTTCTTTGGTATGTTGCGTATGCGCTTCTTGGACGCCACGCTCTCAGTCTTCTCCTGCTCCATATGCTTTTCCATTGGCACCGCTGCTTGCTTATCGAGAACCTTCTTCTTGACGCCCTCCTTCTCGGCTGGCTTGGCAGCAGGTGGCGTACACGGCGAGTCCTCCAGCTCATCGTCATCGTCGCACCACTCGGCCAGCAGACTTTGTTGCAGCTGCAGCGAGGCTGCCATGCTGCTGCTCTGCGCGAGATTCTTTTTGTTTTGTGGGGCAACAGCCACAGGTGCTGGCTTCGGTTCTGGTTCTGGTTTTGGTTCTGATTCTACTTCTGGTTCCCGTTCTAGTTCTAGTTCCGGTTCTGGTTCTCGCTCTGTTGATGGAGACGGAGATGGAGATGCTCGCCTAGGTGGATTGCTAACTCTCGACTTCTTGCTTGCCGGCGGCGGAGGCAGCACAGGAGTCGGTGGCACGAGTGGAGGAGTCTCACTGGCCAGTGATGTTCTAGCCCGCGAAACAGTTCGCTTGCGCCGTCCGACGGCCCGTGGAGTTTTCTCAACGGGCGGAGCGGCTGGTGGTGTTGTCACCGTCTTACGCAGCGGAGCTCCTCGCCTCGGTGTCGCCATCACCTCTGCCTGCCCCCTGGCTGCGGCGGCCAAGGTGCAGCGACGCGCCGGGGGACTCTCTTCTTGCATCCGTCGGTTCATCGAGCGCGTGAGTCGTCGATGCTTCGTCGGCGGCGATTGGGGAGCCGGCATCGTGGCTCTCAGTTGATTCGAGCGCTTACTGCTGCGCTGTTCGCGTGGATTCACGCGACGCGCATAAGGCACCTGCGGCGATGAGGCGCAGCTGTAGCGAGTGCTGCGATTGCTCGGCGCGGAGACGCTGGGCGTGGAGACGCTGGTCGAGCGCGAAGTGGATCTGCCCGCATGCTTCGGCTGCATCACGCGCTCGATGCTGGCCATCGTTGCCTCGGCAATCTTGGCTATCTTCTGCTGCTCCTTGTCCGTCAGAGAGGCGTCCACCACAATGGAAACGTGTCGCGACTGACAGCGCATCGAGTTCTGGGTGAAGAGCGTGCTGTCGCGACTCTGGCTCCTCTCGTTGTTGTACTGCACTTCGAGCACGCTGTGGGAGGTGGTGTTGGCTCGTCGAGTGGCGCGCGACTGTCGTGGCGCCGCCGTACTCTCCAAGTGGGCACGCCGGTGGATGAGCAGGACACTCATGCTGTTCGTGCGAAAGCTGCACATGTTGCACTCGTAGCCCGGCTCGGCGGAGCTGCGTTCCCCCGAAGCGGGCGGGTTGCCGCCCCCGATGTCCATGATCCTGAACGTGGGCTCCTGTTTACAGGTGATCAAATGATTAACAAACAGTGTAATGGCTTGCAGGAGGAGCTACTTACTCGACCTGACGGCGAGGGCACTACGCTGCTGCTGGCACTGCTGTCCTGAACGCTGCTGCTGCTGCTCGAGAGCAGCGCCTTGATGAGGGTGTCCGGCCGGGAAACGGGAGCACCACTGCTGCTGCCACTGGCGCCACTGCCACTGCTGCCACCGCCGCTGTTGCTGTTACTTTCGATCACGGACGAAGAGGATGATCCGGTGGCATGCGATCCGAGGTGCTGCATCTGCTGAGTGCGGGACTCGGCGAGCGCTACATCCTCGGTGAACTTCTCGCCCATGTGCATTGCACTGGCCTTTTCTGAAATTTCATAAAATATAGGAACGGGGTTTTGAGAGAGTAGTTACAAGTTATTTACCCCTTCTTGGGTTCTCTGGCATTTAAAGAGTTGGAAAAAATAAAATAGATCGTACTTTTTAAGAAATTACCAATTTTTTAAATGTGTTAGTTGCTAGTTCTTGAAGTTATTTTTAATTAACAATTTTACAAATAGTTTGTACTTGCATAAGGAAATTAATACCCCTCCTCTTTCATAGATTTACTATTATTGAATGCTATATTCTAGCGACTATACTTACTGCTGCTGCGCTTAATAAACTCCTCCTTGTGATCACATTGAAAGGGATAAATCAGTTTTCCTGACTTGACTTGCTCGCTGTTCATGGCGTAAATTAAGTTTAGTAGCGCTCTTCGATTTAAAAATAAAAGGACTCACAAGGTTTTCTCGTTGAAGAAGGCCACAACGGCGAAAGGAGGCCGCACTGCGTTGGTGTAGCGGAAGTCCTGCGATGATGTCACTTCGCCTGGCCACCAGATCTCTGTGTTGTGTAGTTTGACCCAGACCACGTCGCCCTCGCTGTAGGGCGACTGCTCGGGCTCCTCGTTGCGGAAACGAGGCATTCTGTTGAAGTTCTTGAGGCGTCCTGGACCTTCGATGTCTCTTGAATGGTTTACCGTCACTTTCGTGACCCTTCTGCCGTCGCAAAAGTGGATCTAAAAGGCGTGGATAAGGACACGCCCCGAAACACTTCCCGGCAGCTGAAAGCCAATCGAAATTTCAATGAATAACTGCTTAACAATATTGATAATTTCAGTAGTATCAAGCACCTTCACACTCGTCACCAATAATATTCTTTCTTTTTATGGCATTAGCTCAACTATTTTTGATTGAAATTGCGCACGAGATACGAAGGGAACGAATTCCAGGAATGAACTGATATAGAAATTAAATATTCTGTCAAATGAAATTTCCCAAAGCCTGCTTTTGTTTTCATTAAATGCGAAATAATTTTAAAAGCATGCTTAGTTTATTTTTAAATGCAAATTTATTTTAAAAACTCGAAAATGAAAATGCAAAACTCATTATTCACGCGCAAATAGAATATTTGGTGCGAGTGTCTTCAGATGCTTTAAAAATCTTAAAGTATTTGTATTTCCGTCGTACTGAACACGAATAAAACAACATTCATTTTTGTATAGTTTCTAATATTTATTTATTGTTGATTAAGTCCGATAGTATAAATGTAGTTACATTGTTTATTCCGCACATACATCTACGAGCAAACATATAGGCTATATAAAAGTGTTTCGGGTAAGTGATTTCGGTTAAACAGAGTTGTCGAATGGAATCCGTGAGTTATCCTCTCGCTTGCCAACAAAACTCGCACAAAACTGCTATAAAAAAATAGACAATAATGCAGATAAAAAAACACACGTAGCTGTTTACAGTGATAGCATTATTATATTCTACTTTCTAAGTTGTGGCTGAAAGTACTCGACAGCTAGGAGTAACTTATCACACCCAATTAAGAAAATTATCTCTTTTTTTTTGGCAAGAGAAAACGTACAAAATATAAATCTAAGTATTTAAGTCTGTATTGGGTTTTTGTCTTGGTTTTTTATCAGTGTAGATAGATGTTCTAGAAAATTTTAAAAATATTTAATTGTTCATTAAAGTACATAATAAAAAACAGCACAATGGATCAAATCACAATTTCATAATCGCAGTCCTCCGATGCAACATTAAGTAGTAGCGTCCACCTTGGCCTCCTAATCCTCCTTTTTTTGTTTCTAGTTTTTTTTTTTGTTTTGTTTTTTGGGAGCAGGAGCAGCGATCAACTTTTGTCACACTGGCACGACCATGTCCGTATCTCTTTGTCCGTCTCCGTTGGGCTGTTCGGGATGCGATTTCGGTTAAGTAATTGGTGCGGGATTTGGGATTCAGGGGGATGGCAAATGGCTAAGGTCGGATGGGGCAGCCGTTCCAGCAGCCGTTTTTTCTTTTATTCATATTCAGATTGTCTTGGATTTCGGAGGCGGTAGACGTGAATGCACGGGGTGCACGTGCAGCAGGTGGCGACGTCGTCATTGATGGACATCGACGCGACCGCCATTGCCGTTGGTGGCCGTCGCCACATCGTCGCCCACAATGAGCACCTTGCCGACGCCATCGGGTGCGACCAGCTCGCCACTGAGTCCGTCCAGTCCGGGCTCACTAACGTCGCCGGGGATCTTGGGCTTCGGACGGTGCGTGTCCACCGCATCGATGGGCAGCTTGATGTGCTCCACCTTGCAGCCGTAGGCCACCGGCGTCAGTTTGATCACCGTGTGCAGCGGCACATACAGGTAGGGCAGCTCATCGGCGGACTTGTCCAGGAAGTAGGCGAACAGGCAGCGCAGCACGGCCTGGTGGGATACCACCAGCACATTGCCCTGCCGCTCCAGCTCCATGATGACCGGCTCCAGTCTGGCCACCAAATCCTCGTAGCTCTCGCCGCGCGGATAGCGATAGGCGAACTTGTTCACGTCGCGCGCCTTAAACTCCTCGGGGAAGCGCTCCTTGATCTGCTCGTAGGTCATCTCCTCGCAGTGGCCCGCATCGATCTCATTTAGAGCCTTCCAGCGCTCCTGTGGCGCCTTCACATCGGCCACCGTCTGAATGGCCCGCTTCATCCACGACGTCCACACCCGCAGGCCGTCGATCTGCTGCTGGGCAATGAAAGTGGACAGGGCATTGGCGTACTGATGGCCACGGGCGCTCAGATTCGAATCGCCGCCGATCAGACCGCTCAGGTTGTGCTCGCTCTCGCCGTGACGGGTCAGGTAAATGGTTCGCGGCGTTATGTGAATGTTCATCAGGTAGTAAACGATTCGGGACTCGACGTGACCCTCATTGTTGTAGACCACCACCTTCTTGCCGGCATTGTAGACCTTCATGAAGCTGAGATGCGCCTCGGTGACCTCGTCAATGGGCTGATAGCGCTCCTCGTAGTGCTCGATGCGCTGCAGGAAGTCCCTGACCACCAGCTCTGTGTTCATATTCAGGTAATCCGGCGAACTGACCTTCACCTCGATAATGTTCTGCTCGATGATCTGCGGATCATCGCAGATCGACTCCACAAAGAAGAGCCGGAAGCCGTGCTGCTTCACCACAATGTCGTGGATCAACTGGCGGCGGTCGCGCGTCGAATTGGTGGCATCGAAGACGGCAATGCTGCCCTGGCCGCTCAGCAGCCATTCGCAGGAATCGTGGAGCGCCTGGTTGGCGCACCGGTTGCGGATGGCCATTGCCTCCTCGTTGTCGGCGCGAAAGAACTCGTGCGACTTGTACGCGGTGGTCGCATGTCGCCGGTACTCGCCCAAGTTGAACACTCGCGTTGCGATCCCAATCCAGTTGAGATAGCGTGCCAGCTTCTTCGAGATGAAGGTCTTGCCGCGAGCGGGCAGACCCACCATCGCAATCACATGCGGCGTGGTGCAGTCCGCGATGGTTCGCTCGCCGCGAATGGGGAACGGCTTGGTCATCACCGTTTCCGAGGTGGGCGGCAGCAGCTTGCGCAGCTCCTCGGACATCACCGACGGGCAGACGTGCAGCTCATTCTCGATGGCCAGGTCGGCGGTCTTCTTCAGCTGATTCAGCGAAGTGGTGCGCACGCGTAGCGACGGCGAGGTGTTGTAGGGCATATCCATGATGCTGGTGGCGGTCACTGAGCGGACAGCTAGCTGCTTGGCAACGGCGGCGGCGACGGCTGATGATGAGGATGTGGACGAGGCGGTCGAGGATGCGGAGGAGGAACTGGAGTAGGCACAATTGCAGCACGTGCACAGGTCGTCTGTGTAGGACGGGGTTCGGTTTAGGTTCGCTGGTTGTGCTTGGCGATTTGGGTTGAGGGCGAGGGCGGGTGTCCTTTTGTTAATGGAGTGGGTCAGGGGCAATGGCAATGGCAATGTTCCTACTTGGTCCTTGTCGTCGTCTTCGTGATCGTCCTGAATCTGATGCTGATTACTGCTGGCTGAAAGTATTTGACTAGGGTTCGCTTTCTTCAGCTCTGCTGGGGATCCTTCCACGGGATTTTGAACCTGAACAGCTGATGTGGCTGCAGATGATGCTGCTGCTGATGTTGCTGCTGCTGTTGCTGCTGCTGTTTGTTGTTGTGGCGTGGCGAGACATGAAATTAGTCGAGTATTTCAAACATAAATGTGCTGTTTTACTGGTTTTTAATTACTGAATGGCTTGTGTGGAGTATGTGGTTTGTGGAGATGGGTGACTGTGTATCACAAGTTTGTTTTTGTGAGTGCTGGATGGATGAAAAAAGCAAAGCCAAAGTCAAAGTCAAGGGGATATATGTTGGATATATACCAAGATTTACCTACAAATCAACAACGCCTTTCATCTGTGTATCTATGTGTGACCGTTTTTAATTATACATATATGGATAGATACAAATTGTATGCATATGTATGGCGGTTTCTGTGGATGGCTAATATTTGACTTATTTGCACTTGACGATCGAAGACAAATGAAAGTGAAACTGAGACTGAGCAAGAAAGAGCCTCACACAAAAACGTGCGTGCTGCGTGGGCGATACAAAAACAAAAATAAAAACGGGAGAGCAAGAGAGAGTCGAGAGAAACGGAGAGCGGAATTAGCGAAAATAATAAACGAAGCACGCTAAATAACAAAACGAAACGGAACGAAACTAGTGAATAAAAACAGCTGACGAATCGTTTGAAATCGTATCGACTACTCCTCGCACTCTTTTGCGTTATCGATAGTTAGGCTATGACCTGTTGGCGCAGTTCGATAGCATCAGGGTTGTCAACATGGCTTCCACAGGTGATTACTACCTGGAATTGCCAAATTCCCAGGTTGCTCAGTATCTACGATCTGATCTGCAATAAAAATGGAGAGCTAAAAAAACAAAGAACACAGCAAACAAAATACACTTGGAATTCCAAATGCCCATTTGCGATATTTATGAGTCTGCTTCAATTTTTTTATATGCAGATCCGCTGCTGATTATTACCCCAAGCAATCATAAAAACTCTAGGGCCTTGTGTTCGGCTCTTTTAAGGTATTTCAATTCGAATACGCTGGGACCTGCGATGGAATTTTACCAGCGTCCCAGTAAAAATGATAAAGACAAGGCAAAATTTATAAAGCAAAGCGATCGCCTTTATCGCCTAACCAAAGAAAACAAAAACAAAGAGAAACCAAACAATCCAAGCACAGAACCCCACAAACAGTCTATGGGGACGAAAGGAAATACAAAGATGACGATCTACGTATAATGAGTATCTTCCAACAAGCTCACAAGCAAAATTCTTAAACATTTTTAGACGATCGCGCAATATGAATTGGAACATGTATTTCGTACAGCTATCAATGAAGTTATACCGGTACGCAACAAATTTTTAAAACGCTCATTTAACTACAACCCTATACTTAAACACTTGTAATCTTGTAGTAACAAAATTGCATTATTACCTCTTGACAATTTTAAACGCCGTGTTCCCAAAGCCTAAACAAAACCAGACATTGTATTACTTTTAAACCATTAATATTTTCGAAATTTTCAACAATTTTTTTTAGGGGAAGATCCAAATGAGTATAAAATATATTATCATATTGTTATAGTATGATTAGTGCTCTTTTTAGCCAGCATCTTTTTTTTTTTTGCTTGAATAATGCTTGATAGCGCAGAATTGACCAACACGACGGGACACAAACAAATAAACGAGTTCAACGCAAACCTCGAATGGATATCAACAGAGTATACACAGATGGACTTAAGGAACTGGTTGGGTTTATTAGCGTTTATGGTCAGCAATAATTAGTAAGTGCGCGCTATTTTAGCCAGGCGATGTATAGTGGTTTCAATTATTACCTGGATATCGGAAACAAAAGCCTGAAGACGTCGAGGAGCTGGAGGCACAGAAACCGCGAAACAGAGCGATTGAAAAAGATGAAGCAGACACTGTGCTGAACGCTCAAACACTGAAAAACTAATGCCGATTTCTGAGAACCCCGATCGTCGGCGGGCAGAAAAAAAATAAAAACAAGCGTCGACGACTCGACGCCGGCGCTCAAATGGCACGAAATCGAAATCGAAATGTAACTGTAACGACGACGACGACTGGGCTCCAATTAGGAAAAAAAAAACAATAAATAAAAGAAGTGAGTTGATCATTTGCCTAACTGCGCAGCTACAGGCAATATTCTTTGGCTTAAAACCGTCTTTAAGTCGAACCTGTTTTGGTCTTATTTATTTACATAATAAAGGGGATTCTTTTAAAATAAAACAATTAACTAGTAGTAAACGTCTATCCACGCGTTTTGAATTTATTTTTTCGAGAAATGTAATACAATCTTTTTGGCTTTTAGACAAATTTAAAGAAATTAGGATGAATGAGATGAGTGTAATCTATCAAGGTTTCACTGTATTTGAGAAACGACAATAACAGAGGCAAAGCGCATATTTGCAGCTACACAAAAAAAAAAACACAAATGTCAAATTATTTGCACACAGTTTTCTGCGATTCCTGGCTGAATTGACATTGCCGGGCTCGCATTCAAAGTTCAGCTCATAAGTCTTACCACTTAACTCGAACCTCACGTGTTTGTCCACAAGGCTTCCCAATGCAATTGAGCTCTGGCTCTGTGGACTGCCGGCCCTCCTATTTTGTGTGGATCGGATCGCTCATACATACGTGCGTCATTAGCCTATAGAGGCGGCTACCGATCGAGCTATCTCCTCCCAAACTGGTCCATATGAACCGCTCAAGGTCGAGTGCGGCAAAAACAAATACGACTGGGTTAGATGATCACGCATTTGAGACGTGCATCTGCGGGTGCAACCAGATCGATGATCTGAATTGCACTCTCTTATCAGAAACAGGAATCCGAAACTAAAGACCTGTTCCCAGTTTTGAATTCAATCTATTTTATCGGAATTGCGGACAAATACGGTTTGCAATTTTAAAAACTTACATTTTTATAAAACATAGTCGAGACCCGTCTACCCCAAAATCGTGGGGGTATCGTATTTAATTTAAATACTTAAAGAGATCTCCTACTTTTAAAAAGTTTAAAACATACCTGCCTATTTTAGCAGATAAGAAGAAAAACAAGGAGGCCTTTTAAGTAAGATTAAAGACTTTAATCTGTTGCGCAAAGGTACACTTGCACTTTTTTAATATCTTATCTAACTCGAAATGAACTGCATCCTGCGTGCTGAAACTATGAAAATAAAACAAGGAGAGATATAAAAAGTGTAAACAATTATTTACACTTCGAATGCAAAGCTGATATCGAGAGGTAATTTATTTATCTGTTCATATTTACTATGAGCAAGTATTGGACAACATTTCAATTGAATGTATTGCTAATAATAATTACCTGTTTTTATCAGGAATTTGTTATTAGGACATGATACTTCTGCTTGCAGCATGAGTACAAGATCGTCGTCATAGGCTGACTCATTCCGAATGATCAACGGCGTAATCAAAGTAATTGAGCGCTGCAGAAATTGGCAAATGCGACCACGCGGTCGCTTGTGGTACAATCTTCCGCCGACTTGTTGATAATCTCTCCCCAGCTGTCGCACTATCAGAACAACCGAAAATAATTCCAATAACAACATTGTCAGCGGCGGCAGCGACGAAACGGCAACGAGTGTAATTATCGTTGTGACATGAAAGTCCGGTTGGACAGAACGAACCTCCTGATAAGACAAATATCACAGTGCGAAAAAAAGAAAAGAACGACGGCGACTAAACCAAATAGATGAGCGCAGAGCAGAGTCCATCGGCATACAAATAATGGCAATGCAATTGCCGATTATCGTTGCCCCGTTATCAGCTACTAGAGGCAATATAAGATCACTGCCAGTATCCAAACAGCAAAGTTAATAAACCGAACCACCCACAACTCTGCGCCCCTCGTTAAACAACAGCGGCCGCAAATCGGCTTATTGTTTTGTTACTTCAGGTGATAATTTATGGTGCATGGCATGTGTTCACGTGAGGTGCGAATGATGATAAGTCTGATGCTGCGTGGGGGGATGCTAAATTTGGTGCGCTAAACGGCAACTGCAAAACTTTCCACCTCACTGCCATTTCGCTTGATGGTCGTCGGTGGGGCCAAAAAGAAATCACTGTTGCCAATCAATTTCTAGCTGTGAGTCATGGTGACTCATTCCAGCCCCTTTTATGGGACAATTAACGCTGTTTTCTTAACAGCTTTTTATTCTATATTTATTCAGAGAGGGTATCTTATTCGTTATGGAGATTTTTTAAAGTGTACACCCGCACTGGTTAGAGAGAGTTCAACAGTAACATTCGGTATAATAAAGTTAATGCTTTTGTTAACTGTTTAAAAACATAACATTTGTGTTTGTTTTACCTAAAGTGCAGATTTTATTGGAATAAATAATCTATGCCTCGTCCGATTATTCTCCCTAGCTATGAATTTTTTTATAAACACTAAAGCCTTAGCTCAGCATCTCTGATTCGGATTTACACGAGTAAACACATTTGCAGATAATATTCTCCAAATGTTCATAGAACCCTTTGTCTTCTTTCGAATCGCTTTGATTTCATAGTACATATTTTGATTTCGAATTACTATTCCAATGCTTTAATGCTGATAAAGAATGTTTCTACTTTTAATGGTTCGCAAAAAGTTCCAATGTTTTTGTTTACTTAAAGTCATTTTATTAATAATCTGCGTAAATGTTTACTTTAACATTTCGCCAATAAAAACATAGATTTGGCAACAATTGACATTGATTACTATACGGAAATGTTTGCCTTTTAGTTTTGATGCTACAAGATGATGAACCTGCCCAGTTACTAGTTGGCAAAGCTGTTTGACTTGATCGGGAAAAGGGCAAAATATGGGCTCCACCCCCTTAAATACCAATTAGACCACCTGACCAAGTTCTAATTGCGACTTGCAAATCGCTCCAATGGCACTCGTGACCACCTTGCTGGCGTTTGAGTTTTGCCTGCTAGGTTGGCTATTGGCTTTAACAGTTGTAGGGAAAGTAGGCTACAATATAGAAATAATAAATTATAAATATACCCAATATGTACTTTTGAACTAAAATCCTATAAACAATATTTGAGTTGAAACAACATTTACCTACAACCTAGTGTCTGAAATATGTAAAATACTTATGATATCAACTAATTGTGTGATTTCTTGACTGAGTGCCATCCAAACGTTGTAAAATCCCAATTACTGCTTGCAATTAAAGGGGATTTCTGACTGTCAACAAATTGTTTTTAAAGGGTATACATTTGTCATCGTCGACGGTGCAGATAAGCCTTCAACTTTCAGTTTCAATGTCATGTGCGCTGGGCTTAAAAGGGATTTTAAGCTTTAAGCACCCAAGCTTTTGCTCTACACCGGGCAAATTGCACTCGACATCGCACACTACAGTGTCTCACAATCCGGTGTGCTCCAGAATAAGCTTCAAAAATCTGTACAAAATCGGTTAAGGGAGATTTCTTGAGCAATCCAGCGATACAAAAATCGAACTTGATGTGGCAAAATAAAATTCATAAGGCGCCCAAAACCGTAGACAGCTTTACATTCCCGTAGACGAAAAGCATTCCCGAACAACGAAGTGCTATCCGCTGGGCCCAAGCAAACGGAATTATAAATAACGGGCCCTCAAGGCCACGAAAGGGGGAGGCAAATAGGGTGTGGGTAGTGCAAATGGTCAGGTGATACGGATATGAGCGGAACAAAAAATAAATAAATAAATGGCCAAATCGTTCGCCTATGTGCTTCCTCTGCGTTTTGTATTTTGAGCTATTTTTCCGGTTCCTCAAAAAGAAAAATGATAGAAAATAAAAGCGACCTGTGTTTGTTGCATATGGCGCAAAGAAAACTAGAAAACTAGCAGTCGCCGTAACAACAATGCGCCGCCAAAGGCGGAAAGAAAATTCACAAAAATACCAAAATAGCAGATGGGGGCAGAAATATTCGTTTGAGGCATTTGAAAATGAAAACAAAGCGTTTTTTCAATTCTGATGGGGATGGTGATTCGATGACGAGACAACTACGGAGAGGAACAACGCATAAACAAACGACGTAAATGGCAATGCTGTGTGTAAAATCCACTCAAAACAAGTGCGAAAAAAAGAGGAGAGAGTGGGAGAGTGTGTACACGAACTATTGGCAGATTATCGGAAGAGCTAATAACTGTGTTAATAAGCCAAGAATGTCATTAAACCACATAAATGCTAAAAACGCGATTAAACCACCTGAGAGCCCAGACAATCGAGTCAGCGAAAACGATGAAAACTATGCAACGTGGGTGAAATTAAGAGGGGCAGGGGATCTAGATCTGATCTGCACTCTATACGTACACATGGCTATTAAATCCGGATCCGTAGCAGCGGTATTGACGATTTGTAGGGGTTTATAGCCGGCGTAGCGCGGCGTAGTCGCCGTCGACTGAGCCATTTGCCCCGGAATGCAAGCAGTGTGCCGAACTCAAGCAGTGGTGTGCCTGATCTGCAAAATCTCTATTTTTCAAACACGCGATTTTTCAAAACGACCAAAAAGAGTAACAGAACAGGAAAAAAAAAAGCACAGATCGGTTTTGTTTGAACGCTGCTAATATAAAAAAACACGAATATCTTATTTAGATTTGATATTGACTCGGGGGCAAACACGGCACAACAAAACAACCAACCACACCGCACAAGAAACGAAAGTACAAGACGATTTCGCCGAACCGCCGTTCAGTTCAGTTCCGCACACGTCGCTTGACAAAATCGAAATGAGCAAAAAGCAGAGCGAGTCAAGTGCCAGAAGCCCCCAGACTTGCGAAAACGGCACGCGAGCGATGATCGCCGAGCGGAAAGCAAATACAACACAAGCAAAAAGAAGAAGAAAAAAGCGGGTACCGTACCGCCGATGTCGCCGTTTGTTTTGTCGGTGGTAATCACACAATCGGGAATCGGAATACGAATCCCAGCCCGAATCGTTTGTCTATGCAGGGATTACGAAAGGCAGCGGTAAATAGCGCAACAGCTGCGGCCAAGCACATAGGGTTTATTAATAGGAAATCTGAGGATAAATATTTTGCAAGTTCAACCAGTACCTACGTCAGTGTCTAACACCTTAAGGAAAAAAATACTGTACAAATTGATACCTACTTTAAGGATTGAGATAGGATATTTATCAGAAAACATCCAATATATTCGGTATATTAAGTCTGCAATCATTTTAAGACAGAATTTAAATTATAATCATTTAGTGCGTCCTGATTGGTTTCACTTGCTTATCAAATAGCTCGATTTTTTTTAAAGTGCTTTAATTTACACGATAACATTTTATTACGTTTTTGTACGTCTCACACTATAAGAAACGCTTATATATCATTAATAATGATAGAAAAATGTCGAACTGGCACTTTAAAACATTTAAAAATATAACATAAGTTGAAAGGTTTAAAAAGTTAGATGACTGAAATATAATATAAAAATTCTGTACAAATTTTTAGATTTTTAAACTCAATGTGATGTTTTCTTTGCCATATACATATACGGTTAAATTCTAAAATAAGTTATTTTTAATAGGAGACCCTAAATCCGATAGTTTCTAAATATCGCAAAGGCTATTGATGTTAACAGAATAGCAGAAACACCTGAACGAATGAGGGACACAAAACAAGAGTCGAAAAAGCTTCCACAATGAGCAACAAAAACACTGCGCGGCAGAATGCAACACTGTAAAAGCTGCGCAGCATAGCAATGGCGGCCTCTGTTTAAATGTGTGTGTGTTTCGCGCGTGTGTGAGTGTGCCACCGGCCAGTGCTTGTGCGAGAGAGAGAAAGAGCAAGAAATCTAATAAAACCACAAAGAGAACCAATCATTTAGTGTACACCAGAAAAAACACAAATCAATTGCGTTAATGTTCCCTTCATTCAGCACCACATAAATAAAATGCCTAAATCTAATTGAAGCACAAATTTCACAAAGATTACCGTTTTTTACACGCAGCGATTACTTCTGTACAAGAGAAACCGATAACAATAATTGCACCCGATGAATACAGAAGACAGAGTGGAGCAAAACTAAAACAAAAATAAAGAGCGCACACTAGCGCGTACGACTCACTGGTATGTTTTGGTATATTGGTATTAGTTGCCCGCCCTGCGCATGTGCGTGGTGTTTTGTGGGTGAATGTGTCATGAAAAGCATTGAAAGGACATATAAAAATGCAACTCACCTTTGCTTTATCGTAATTGCCCTCTAGCATTAACTTGATAAATTACGTTCACACTTGTTTGTATTTCATTTTTTTCTTTTGCACCACTCCACCTCGCGATAACTTTGATTTGGTTCTAAGCGAATGACCATTACTGTGGTGTTAGAAGCTAACAGCGCTGTAAACGATACACACTAGCACACCACAGTGTGTGTGTATGTACTTACATAAATACACATGCAGCACCTCGCGAAACTTAACTTATTTGTATTTCTTTTCGTGTTTTGACACGCCAAAAACTTACCGCTATGCTAGTGCAGCGACTGGAAGTCATCGCTTCTGCTTCCAATGCGTTGTTGTTACAGTTCCTGTTTGTTCCTTTTGTTGCTTTCTCGCTTACACTTAACAACAAAACGCTGCGCGCTCCACACACACGCACACTAGCGCAAATGAACGTGTGTCTGTTGTATTATTGCTGATTTAAACAAACACACACACGCACTTTGGGGCAGCGAAACGAGAAAACGTATCCGATTATTATAAATACATGTATATCTAAATATACTTTTGATTTTTATGAGCGCGCTCAGCTACAATTGCATTTGCAGCGCACGCACACTCATGCACACACACGCACACGGGGGATGCACTCGGTCGGGAGTCTCCTCTCCTCTCCCCTTTTCTTCATCCCCTCACGACTCGCGACCACCACCGCAATTCCAAGTGGAAAACGAAACGAAAACGGAGGAAAAAATGAAGGCAAGGGAAAACCAAAAGCCCTGGCAGCAAATAAACGTTTTTATTGAAGGCAGAGTTTTGCCCTTTTGTGCTCGTCTTAACTTGGCCAAAAGCTCACCAGTCGGAACGGCAGAACGATTAAACGAACGATCGAAGTTGATCGGATTATATGTAACACAAAAAAAAAAATACAATACCCGCAGCGAATTAGAAGTTGCAGACAAATTGTAAAGGTGCTAGAGCTGGTAGCAAAGTCGATGTTTAAGCGATACTATCGATTTCACTGAAATCTGTCCATACCAATAACTTTGCGTCTATCGACTATCTAAATTTTGCGGACCATAACTTGTTATGGTTTTTATGGACGAAACTTATCACAAATTATAACATTTCTGCCTATTTTTCTAGAATTGTTAGACCATGTAAGGGTTCTAATAAAAAGCATTAATTTTTTCTTAAGAGTCAGCAAAGCTAGTAACTAAAATATACGCTATGAAATTAATAAAACATCTTTATTATCAAAATATTGATTTTTAAACAGCAATTTAGTTAAACATACTGCTGCTGTCTTTGTCTACATAAAATACGGGTCGCGGTACTTCAAGCATTATCAAATGTGCCGTCATCTGCAAAAAATTGTTATTTATTATTATTATTATTAGATTCGGTGGCTGAAATTAGATCCTCGAGAGTGTCAGGGTGAAAAATGGTGGCTGCTGCTTTGAAACCACAATTAATTGGACAAAAACCAAGTAAATGCGTTCCGGGCAAGCAAGTGCACAAAGGATTTTTGAAATGTTTTGGAACAACTTTATTATCAACAGATACAGTTTTTTCGGATAGCTACATGACAGGCGTGTAACTAAAACGGTTTTTACTGATGGTTTCAAGAGTTTAGTGATGGTTTCAAAAATCATTCTCAATATATCGATATCTTAGTAAATGGATATCGAACCAGTACCCTGTCCGATTTTAAAACCAGTTCGCGGGCCCCCAACATCTGGCACGTCACTCGTTCACAGTTTGTTGTCATTGCCAAGCTAGGATTCATATTCGTAAAATCATGGTTTGAAAGGACAATTTGCTGCCGACAAAAGCGGACATTAATTCGCCGTATTTCCCACCCACAGAGTGCCCTGTTCAACTTCCAAAGCCTGCTGTCAGTGATCTTGCTGCTGATTTGCACCTGTGCCTACCTACGCTCCCTCTTTCCCAGCATCATCGATCGCAACAAAACCGGGTAAGTGTGCAGATTCCAAAACTCGAATGTTTCTGAATCTGACCACCATATTAACCCCCTTTTATTGCAGTTTCCTTGGCACCTTCTGGAAGCTGGCGAGGATCGGGGAGCGTAAATCGCCGTGGGTGGGAGCTGCTTGTCTGATCATGGCCTTCACCGTTCTCTTCTGGAGTTGAGTGGCAATTCCTGGCCTAGATATCCCTATCCTGACGGCGAATTGCATCGTAAAATACTTCCCACTTTAAAGGACTGTGTAAATACAAGCTGAGTTCTGCAGCACTGATTAGCCATTTTGGCCCTTCACAACACTACGTTTTATGTCTGCTCATTCTGCGGTTAAAAAATGTCTGTCGAAGATCGGGAGCAACTGCGTCGCTTTGTGGATGTAAACAGAAGGCGATTGAAGGCTATCCTGAAGCGCCTACATTGGAGCGAAAAGGGGGTGATGGCTGCAAGAGAAGGTGGTCAAAGCTCAAAGAATCATGCAAAGGAAGAGGATGTATTGGGCGCAAAGGAATTACTGCCCGACTCCTGCTGCACTAATTCCGCCTTCAGCATTCAGCTGGACAGAACTGCTATCCAACGTATTATAGGAAAAGATACAGGTCAGCTCAATGAAGCCGCCACATTTGATGATCTGCAGTCAGGACTTAACGCAAACGAAAGGCTCCTCGTCTACGAGCACGTACTGCAGCACACCAAGAAGCATCCGGAGTTCGAGGACAATGCTGCCTTCGCCGAGATGGTGAGCGTAACAAAGCGCGAGCGGAAGAAGCAGCGACGCCATCGCAAGAGTAAGCCCACCATCAACGAGGAGCTGCAACAGTTGGTCAACCTGCAGATGCATGCGCTGCAAATGCAGTGGCAAAAGGAGCATGACGAACAGCACCAGGAGTATGAAAAACATACGCATAAGCATGAGGGGCATAAAGAGCGTCACCAGACCCCTAAGGAACACAAGGAGTGCCACCCAAAGCGGCATAACGAGCTCAAAGAACGGTACCAGGATCATAAGGAAGATACAGAGCGGTATAGAGATCACAAAGACCTGCATCCGGTGGAAATGAACATCAAAGAAGGACATGAAAAACACAAGGAGAGGCACAGGGACCACAGAAGCAGCCGAAAGAGAAGTAGGAATAGGAGTCCCAGTTCAGAAAGGATGCGATATGGCCAAAAACGAGATGACCATGAGTACCGTAGGCAATACTACAGAAAACATTAAAGCGTGAATTTCACCTGTTTTAGCTAAGGAGGAGTTGCACTCCAATTGGCCAGGCATTCAACCTTATACCTCTTCTAATTAGAGTTTACTTCCTAGTCCAACCGACTGTTTATTTTGGTAATTCAGATTATGAACAAATCAGGCAAAAAAAAAAGAATAGTTGTCTATGATCCTGGCTCTCGAATTAAGCCTACTTGGTGGAGACGCGTGTACGCTTGTTCCAGGCAAAGTTGATCCCGTAGTTCTTAACGCGCTCTTTTTTGGGCTTCTCGGCGCCGTCGACGTACCAACGCCAGCCGTTGCGCTCGCAATAGGTGATTGCCTCCTCCTGGGAGCCGAATTGCACGTTCAGGTTGGACAGTGGATCCCCGCTGCAAGAGACAATCGATTGTTGATAATAATTCTGGAGTTGCATGGCAGCGACTTACGTGGAGGCCCAGCCCATGAGTGGATTCTCCCAGCGTTCGCGGTTGTCGAACTCGATTTGCCAGGTGTTGACGTTGTCCGTGCCGCTCTGCATGGCGTTCTTGGGCGGAATATGGATGCGGACGCGACGCTCCTTTAGGTGTTCGTCCGGCACTCCGGAAATTGGTCCCAGATTGACGGCCGTGGGCACGGTGATCTTGCCGCTCAGCTTGTTGCGCTGCTCGACTTCCTCGGGACGGGCCAGTGCCAACTTGGGATCGAGTGGGCCGCTGTCCAGCGAGGAGGCGGACGCCCAGCGGGCGGCGGCCAGCTTGTTGGCCTGGTAGCTGCAATGGAAGTTTCGGAGTGAAAACAGTTAACCCCTAGGATGCCCTTGTTTTTTGGCAAATAGAACGACAACTTACAGCTGCAGAGAGGCGGTGCTTCTGCACATCACTTGGCGGAGGGCCGACATTTCGCTGGTCTGCTCGCAATAATCGGCTTCCAGATGCGAATTACGTAAAATTTGGAACACAAGCGCTCGCAATGTTACACAGATGAGAAAACAGCTGTTCGACAGTGGCAGTGTGGCCGAACGCTTTCTTTGTTTTCATTTGAATTTTGTGTCAGTGCGACCATAGTCCAGGCTGTATTGGTTTGTGACAGCGCTAAAGGTACACAAATAATTTAAGTTTCTCAACACTGTTCGTTAGAGTTAGGCTATCGTTTGTGAGGCCGATGTTTGTGTAGCCCTACATTGCGCCGTCTGGGTACACTGATCGCCAGCTCCAATTTCACCAAAATTTTCGTTGACCAAGGACGAGTTTCGGCGCGGCCAACAGAACTTAGAGAGCACAAGCAGCAGCAGCGTAATGGGTGTTCCGAAGTTCTTTCGCTACATCAGCGAGCGGTATCCGTGCCTCAGCGAACTGGCGCGGGAGCACAGCGTAAGTGCGGATGGGTTGCGAATGCGGATCTCCAATGATCAATAACGCTTTGTTTGCAGATCCCCGAGTTCGATAACCTGTACCTGGACATGAACGGCATCGTGCACAACTGCTCGCATCCGGACGACAACAACATTCACTTTCATCTGGAGGAGGTGCAGATCTTCCAGGATATCTTCAACTACGTTGACAAGCTGTTCTATCTCATCAAGCCGCAGAAGCTCTTCTTCCTGGCCGTCGATGGAGTGGCACCGCGTGCCAAAATGAATCAACAGCGCAGCCGGAGGTTTCGCTCGGCTCGCGAAGCGGATCAACTGGAGGCGAAGGCCGCGCAGCGCGGTGAGAAGCGGGAGCACGAACGCTTTGACAGCAACTGCATCACGCCGGGCACGGAGTTTATGGTCCGGTTGCAGGAAGGCTTGCGCGCCTTTCTGAAGACCAAGATCTCGACGGATCCGCTATGGCAGCGCTGCACTGTGATTCTCAGTGGACAGGAGACCCCCGGCGAGGGCGAGCACAAGATCATGGATTACATACGCTACATGAAGGCCCAGCCGGACTTTGATCCAAATACGCGGCACTGTCTGTATGGCTTGGATGCTGATCTAATCATCCTGGGCCTCTGCACCCACGAACTTCACTTTGTGGTGCTCCGCGAGGAGGTGAAATTCGGCAAGAACGTGAAACGAGACTCCGTGGAAGAGACGCGCTTCTTTCTGCTGCACTTGGGCTTGCTGCGCGAGTATCTCGAGCTGGAGTTCCACGAGCTGAGCACTGCGGAGCGCAAGTTTGATGTGGCCCAGCTGATCGACGACTGGGTTCTGATGGGCTTCATGGTGGGCAACGACTTCATACCCCACTTGCCCTGCCTGCACATCTCGTCCAATGCCCTGCCACTGCTCTACCGCACGTACATACGTATTTACCCCACGCTCGGTGGTAATATCAACGAAAACGGCAAGCTGAACCTGCGGCGCCTGCAGATCTTCATGTCCGCCCTCACGGAGGTGGAACTGGAGCAGTTTAGGGAGCACGCCGACGACCTAAAGTATATGAATGCCAAGACTGAGGCATTCGACGCTGATGTTTCCGAAATTACCTCCTACGATAACTGCAATTCGGATCTGGCGGCCCTCATCGATCAAAGCACGAAGGTAAGCAGCTGGTTACCTTGTTTGAGGTCTAGATTTCTACTAATTGAGATGCCTTTCCCATTCGCAGCTTTATGAAGGCGACAGCGACGAGGACTGGAGCGATGAAAATGTGAGCTTGATGCACGAGTTCCAGAACTACAAGCGAAACTACTACCGCAACAAGTTCAAGTGCGACTCCGAGTCGCCGGCTCAACTGATCGAGGAACTGGGACATCATTATGTGACCGCGCTGCAGTGGGTCCTCGATTACTACTACCGCGGCGTTCAGTCCTGGGATTGGTACTATCCCTTCCACTACGCGCCCTTCATCAGCGACCTCAAGAACATCGAGCAGGTCCGGGTTAGCTTTCATCAGGGAACGCCCTTTCTACCATTCCAGCAAGTGAGTTGAAACGCTAATTAGCTCTACTATCTTGTACTTTTATGAAAGAAAAACAGACAAAGAATCGCATATGCATATATTAATGTTGTGTGTTCTATACCTGTCTTGCTCTAAATCATTCTTAACGCTGATAACCATTTCCATTTAAAATGCATACGGCATTTCCAAATAAAGAGAGATTCTTCGAAAGAAAAGATAACAATTAAATAGGGGTCACAATATATAATATGAAAATAATTATCTGTTGATTGAATTCCCCATGATCCCGCTGAATATTATGTACATATTTAATGATCCCCTTTTCTTTCAGCTTTTGGCCGTTCTGCCAGCAGCCAGTTGCAAACTCCTGCCCTTCGCCTACCACAATTTAATGCTCAATCCCGCCAGTCCGCTGGCCGAGTTCTTTCCGCTGGAGTTCGAGAGCGATCTCAATGGCAAGAAGCACGACTGGGAGGCTGTCGTACTGATTCCCTTCATCGACGAACACCAGCTCCTGACCGCCATGCGTCCGTGCGAGGCGAATCTCACGGAAGCGGAGCGAAAGCGCAACAAGCACGGTCCAATGTACGTGTACAAGCACACCAATGAATCGCAGGGTCCGATGGCCTGCCACCCGCCGCTGGGGCCGCTGCAGCATCTCTACTGCATCGAGATGGCCAAGTGGTCCAGCGAGATCGCGCTCAACCTGCCGCGCAGCGTCTGCGTCGAGCTGCCGAATGCGGCGCGCCACGTTTTCTTCCCTGGCTTTCCCACCATGCAGCATCTGCCCTTCGACGTGAGTTGCCCCCAGTGCAGTGCTGTTTATCCAGCTCCTGATTTACCCTCTCTTATCCTCCAGTTCGAGCTGCGTCACGATCGTGTCAAGGTCTTCGAGCAGGCGAGCCGCAACCAGAACATAGTCCTGATGCCGCGAAAGCGACAATTGGAGGACACCCTGGAGGCGGTGGCCGGGCAGTATCTGGAGCAGGTGGTGCACATCGGCTGGCCGCATCTCATCAAGGCGAAGGTGGTGCGCGTAGCCACGCGAGACCGACGCGTCGACGAGGAGGGCATCGCGCCAAATGACGCGCGTCGCTTCGATTCCGAGTGCAAGTCGCTGCAGGAACAGTTGAGTCTTGACCCCAGTTCGTGCCCCCCGTGCCCCACAGCTAACCTGCTTTCCTCCCCACTAGTTTCACCACTCGCATGGGCATCCAGTTCGCCAACTACGATGTGCTCGTCTACGTGCGCACCTTTGCCGGCAGCACGGTGGAGTTCGGTCAGAGGGGAGCCCTCAAGGAGCGGGATACTTGGAGCACTTCGGTGACCGGCTATCCCGCCCAGGGAGTGCTGGCCGAACTGGTGACCGGCGGGATCAGGCGCAAGCAGTTCCGCAAGGTGGAGAAGTTCTTCTCGGTCGGCAGCACGGTGTTCTTCATCGGCAATCCGTACTACGGCAGCGAGGGAGTGGTGCAAGACCCAATGCTTGCCTATTCCTGTGGTCGCATTCAGGGTGAGCCATTCAAGCCTTATAGTGGCTGGAGTAACCACTTAAACCCCTCTTTCTCCAGTCAACATACGCGTGCGTCCGGAACCGAATGTCAATGCAGCTCGTTTGTTACAAGAAGAGCGCGACAAGGACTTTTTGAACACCTACGAGGTCTGCCACCTGCTGAACATCAATGGACGTGCGCTGGGTCGCCTCACCGGCACCGTTTGGGTGGTCTTGGGACCGCGACGCGAGCGAATGGAGAACGTGGCCAAGCACAACATTGGCCTGCAGCTGAAGTACCCGATTCTGAACGAGGAGCGAGCCGGCTACTGTTGCCGAACGGGCAACCAGTGGTTCTACTCCCGCCTCGCCTTGGAGCTGATGAGCGATTACTGCCAGCGCTTTCCTGATGTCGTCGCCTTCTTTGCCGTGAGCAACGATCGCGGCAAGTACGTCTTCGAGCAGGATGTCTTTCCCGACCAAGTGGGCCAGCATCGCGTGGAGGCCCTGGCCAATTGGGTGCGCCAACAGCCGCACATGAAGGTCGAGCGCATCGCGTGCGGATCGAAGACCGTGTGTCGCGAAACCGTTGAGCTTCTGATGTCCGCCGTCGACGAGCTGCGATCGCTGCCCGTCAAGGATGTCAAGCTGCAGGTGAAGCCGCACCTGCTGATCAAGCCAAATGTCACGCTGCCGGAGGTCTACCGACCCCGACGACCGGTGCGACTCTTCGACCGCGTCGTCATCGTGCGCACGGTCTACATGGTGCCAGTTGGCATCAAGGGCACCGTCATCGGCATCAATCTCGTAACGGATCCGAATCCAGTGCGTCTGGAATGCGTGCACGCAGTAGATACCTTTTGCGAGGTGCTGTTCGACAAGCCAGTGCCGAACTGCAACGATATCCACGGCATTGCGCAGGAGCGCGTCTACAAGGTGCCGGAGAACGCACTGGTGGTCATCTTCACGAACGGTGTGTGGTAGAACTTTACTATGAATTGTCTGCAAGGAAGAGTCCTCAACCTCAAAGGCAGGCAATATATTCATCTGAGAGCAAACACTAAATTTTCAATCGGGTCAATTCGTATCCAGATTTCAAGAACTAAAAGCAATGGCTCACATTTACAGGCAGTTGAATATATTGTTTTATATTTTATTAAAATACTTTTTTTTTTTATGTATATAACGTACTGATTTAAATTTGAAAAAGTGAATCATAGGAACCAGTTTTATTTGTTTCGATTTTTGTGCCTGTGTTTTAAAATATCCGACTAAGTGAGCGGTGCCAGCTCAAGCGTTAACAAATAATTTTGTAGTCGATTTTATTGTAACATAAGCAGTTCTAAAATGGGTAAATCTTTTTATTTCGGATTTTTTTTAATTGTTATCTATTTTTTTCTGTTTTCAGAGCAAGGACAAAAGAATCAGGCCAACGCTCAGTCTTCGCAGACTGGCCAGCAGAACAGGACACCGGTGGAAGATGTCCGCGCAAACTCTCACTCCCGAGAGTCGCAACAAACACAACAACAACCAAAACAACAGGCGACTAGCAGTCGTTATATGACTGCAGCCGGATCGGATTGGATGCCAATCACGATGAAGACACAGATATCTGATGATTTTGTCAAGACGCGTAGCGATGACAAGGCCAAACGGGATCGCTCCAAGCCAGAAGCAGTCCAGCCGCAGCCGGAAAAGCCGGAGAAGGTGGCCAACTGGCGAGAGCGCACCGCTGGTCCATCTGGTCCTCCTGGGCCACCTGGTCCATCGACCAAGCCGCAAAGTGTGCCAGAGAACTGGCGTAAAAAAGGCGGCAGCTCGTCCCTTGCCCCGGAAAAAGCTGCCGCTCCTTCTGTAGCGCCAACTGCAAGCGCTGTAGGAACGGCTTCGCCCCAAGATCAAACCCTGGCGCTCATGTCGTTGCTGGGTTTGAAGAGCAAATCGGATTCGGAGCCATCTCAAGATCAAAATCAAAATCAGAATCCAAATCAAAGTCGGCAACAGCATCAGCAAGCTCCCGGACCCGGACAAATGCCAGTGAGAACTTTTGCAGTTGTTAAATAAGTATATTCGTGTTTAAATTTCTCCAATTTGTTTTGTTTAAGATCCTGCCCAAACCACCGCTTTTTTGGCAGCAGGAGGCACAGAAGCAACAACAGGCTCAGGACCAGGCCAAAGCTCAGGCGCAAAACCAGATCCAGGCCCAGCCAACCGATCGCATTAGGACTCGACAGTGGGTCAGAAGGGGCCGAATGATGGGGGAAAGAGATTCTCCATTTAGCCAGCCGAGTCCTCAGTTACAGGAGCAGATCCTGCAAAGTCATCGAATGATGATGCAGCAACGAATGCCATGGTTGGCCTTTAACGACGGAAATCAGCTACGTTCCAATAACAATGTTCCTGCACAGATTGTTTCGGGCAACAACGCCACAGCGCCACAATATCAGCACTACCAGCAACCAAATCAACAGCACTTCCACCAGTTGCAGGACATCGGCAACGTGGCACCGCGCTACTCTTCCATACAAGATTTCGTGCCCATTCAGGCGTATCGTGCTAGCAAATCTAATCGTTCTCAGACAGCCGGACGCCAAGATTCGAAAGAGGCCAACCAGCCATCGCAGCAGCCACCGTTGGCGGAGACCACGGAATCCAACTCGAGCTCGAGTTTCCAGGAGAAGTCTACGAACGAACCGAAGGAATCGCTTAACGATAAGGTGAGCGTTAAGTAATGCTCGCAGTGATCATAATATAACGCCTTTCGACATCAACAGCCATCGGTTTCGGATGTGGCTCAGGCAGTTGAAGCGGATGAAGCTGCAGCAACGACCTCCCGTCAGGTGAGTCAGTCAGTAGACCCGCAATGTAAGGTGCTTTGTACCGAAAATCGTTAACGGAATCTGTGATTTTTATATTATATATAACAAATGCATTGGATTCAAATTCACATAACTTTCATCCTATTTCGTTGCAGCCGATCAGGCCCCGAAAACAACGAGTACCTCGTATTGGCGCCAAGTTTGATTTGGAGTACATAATGCATTAGTTGAACAGAATTAGACAAGCGAAAATAGATTTTTCCCTGGCGAGGATGAAGCCTCGTAATCAATGAATTGATATATATATACATATATATATATATATAAATATAAATTGTAAATCAATATGGTAGTAATAGCTACGGCGATTGCGTATTATAAGGTTTATTGCCCACCTAACGATATGAACTCTGAAATGTATTTGATTATTACCTTATTAACTTTACTTTTCTAGTCTGTGCGAGGCACTTGAGTTAACTTGAGAAAGCCACAATCGAAGACTGCATTGCTAAAACCATAATGGATTGGTTTGCGAATAAATGAAAAATGTAGATTATGTTACGAAATCCTGGAAATGAGACTGACTCATCTTTATATTTTCTTGTAATAAACTCTTATTTTCTCTTACACTCTTCGTGCATTTAATCGTTTCCCTTTCATTTTATAAGTTGGCGGTCTAACTGCTAGCCTTCCCTATTAGGATATAACTGACCTAATTGTTCCTTTTGGCAGCTTTATAATGAGTCCGCCCGATTCTTATAATTCCTGAAATTTAAAGACTTGTAAAGGCTTGAGCTAGATTCGTCCTGTCAGCTGATTAGAAATATGTATTTGGCACGGAAGCTATTTTCCCCAAAGCATACTTCAAAACTGAAATTGTAATAGCATTTATGTGCTCTACGATTACCTTTTAAGGCCCAACATATAGTTTTACGGAAAAACTTGGAATGGCATACGACAGATTGAAAACTTTAATTGCGAATTGCATAAGCAGGTAAAGCACAAGGGTACTAAAAACATTCGCTCGAGCTCTAACGCACTCAAGATTTTTTCTGTTATCTACATCATTTCGATGTAGCGAAGATTGCTATCTAGAATTATAAGACGTGTCTTTCTTTACGATTTAAGGTTTTGATTTTGCGTATAATTAATTACGACTTTATATGTACATTGAATCGTTAAAAATAATAAAAAATAAATGTTGTTTAAAAAAGCCAGCGAGTGTGTTGTCAACAAGGGTCCACATTTGATTCAATTTTAAAAATCCTACAACAGTGCCAACTTGGACAATTGTATTGTATGTCTGCCGAAACTCTTCCGCTAAACTTGGCCTTGCCTTTTGGCGATTTTGGCTCAGCCTGTTCATCATAGCATTTCGTTTGTTTGTTTGTTGTTGTTAATAGTGAATTTTATTGTGGTTGCCGTTGTTTATAGAGCTAAGCTTATTCCTGGTTCATATTGTTTGTTTTGTTGTTAGTTAGGTTCGCTTCACTTCGTTATTGATTGCCGCATATCGATCTGTAGTTGCTGTAGCTGTTGCTGTTGCCGTTGTTGCTATTCTTGCGATTGCGATTGCGGTTGTGGGTATTTAGTAGCAGTCTTGTTTGGTCCTAAGACGCTGCCGCTGCCGTGGCCAAAACTGACACCGGTTCACTAGAATCAACGTGAATCAACTGCTGCTGCTCCTCCTCGGCGCGCAGCTTGGCGGCCTCCTTTTCCTGCAGCTGGGCCTCCAGCTCCTCGACATTGCGAAAGATGCGGGCGTACTGGAAGCGTTCATGGCATGCCTGCTGGTAAAGAGCGGCCTCCGCTTCGCACTCGCCAAACACATCGCCGTCCCGCAACGCTGTGTAGATTTTGGTGGCCTCCTATACACACAAGTACAAGAAGGATAACAGGATAAGCTACTTAACAAGCTGACAAATGCTTACCTCCAGCCTGATCTTGTTCAGATTGAAGCTAGTGACCAACTTGATGGCGGCGGCCTTTTTACTATTGTCCAACTCGTACAGACTGCGAGCGCCCTCGTATAAATGCAGTATGGAAGCGTTGTTTTTGGCAATGAACTCGTCGTTCAGCTGCTGGGGCGTCTTGCTGCCTATCAGTTCTTTGGTAGCCTTGTCCAGCACCTTCTGTACGTGCTCATTGAACGGCTGCTGCTTGGCAGCGCTGGTCAACGACTTCATAAAGCGAATAATGCAGCTGTGGAGTTCGGGGTGCGCGGGATTGACGGCGCGGGCGCGCAGGATCGACTGCAGCATGAGCAGCAGCTTGTTCTTGCGGTAGTACACCTCGAAGGCCAGCAGGTGCGTTTCGATGCGCTCCTTGGCCAGCTGCTGCAGCGGCTTTAGGAAATCAATGGCCTTCTCCAGCGGATCATCCGTGCGCTCCAGTTTCTCGGCCACCAGCTCGTCCAGCTGCGGGGCATCGGGATCGGTCTCCTGGTTCGCCTGCTGCTTCGACTTCTGGTGCTGCTCGCGCTTCACCTGCGCCTGTGCGGCCTGCGCACTCTCCAGCTCGGCTTTCTTCTTGGCCTTGCGCTGTTTGCTGCGCAGCTTTTTAAGTTCCGAAGGGGGCAAGTTTTCTACAAGACAGGAAAAAGGTTTGTAAAGCAAGGCGTTACCCTGAATGTTTGCACTCTTCCTACCAATATCGATCTCTTCAATGGTGGTCTCCGACTTGAGCGGCTTGTCGTACAGACGGATGTACACCTCAATGGCGCACTTGGCCGCCTTAAAGTAGAATGGGTGCTGGCGCAGCACGTCCTCCAGCCGCAACAGGCCCACGTAGGCGCGCAGCGTCATTTTACGCATGCAGTAGGTGTGAAAATCGAACTGATCCTCGACAATCTCGGCGAAGTGGCGCTCCACTTCGTGACACTTCTTCAGCGACTCGCCCCAGCGACCCATGTCCTGGTAGGCCAGGGCGCACTCCGTCTGGAACCACATGCACTGCATCTCGTTCAAGTTGTCCATGGCGGAGACGCCCTCGCGCGTGAACTTGGCGCAGATCTCCTCGGCCTCCTGCACCATTTTGGCGCGCAACATGTACTTGGCGCACTTCGAGTTGATGTAGCTGAAAAAAAGAACAACGGTTATGCTTGGAAAATCCTTTCTTTTAGCGCTTAAATTACCGATCCGCCGTGTCCATGCTCTGAGCTTCCTCCAGCCAAACGTAAGCCTCGACGGGATCGCCGGCATGCTTGAAGATGCGACCCTTGGTGATGAGCAATTCAATCAGAGTCGGCGTATGGTCGATCGCCACATTGATGTACTCGAGGGCGCGATCGGTGTCGCGCATGTAGTCGTAGTGCTGCGCCAGGAACAGTGCCGTCCAGACGAGCGCCGAGGCCGGCTCGACAGGAACCCCGGCGTCGGCATCCTCGCGAGAGAAGTGCCCGGAACGGGTTAGGTTCTCGAAATACTGCAGCGTCAGCTCTTCAATAATGGCCGCCTTCTCTGGGATTTGGTGCAGCGTGCGCACGTTGACGAAAAGCGGCGGAATGCCCTTGCGCAGGCCGCGGCGCAGGTACTCATCGGCTACGACGCGAAATTCGTCGCCAATGGCAATGTTCAGTGGCAGGCGGCGGGGACAAAGGGCGCGCGGATACTGCTCCTGGAACACACGATAGATCGCCACCACGGCGCTGGACTCAGTCACCTGGCGGGCGGCTATGTACTGCTCGTAGTAAAGCACATTCTCCGGATTGCGCCGGATCAGGGACTCGAAAATCGGCACCGCCTTCTCCTGCTGCTGCAGCTTGATGTACAGATCGCCCATGGTCTCGCGCACGGCCAGCTTGTCAACGATCTGCGACTGGTACTTGGTCAGGTGATCCACCGCCTGCTGCAGACGCTCCGATTCGATGAGTATCTGGTTCTGGTACAGCAGCAGCTCCGAGTGGCGGTAGTCGTGCGCCTCCTGCACAAAAAATACGGAGAGAGATTGTGGATCATAAAATTGAGTGCCCCGATAGCCAACTACTTACAATCGAAGTCTGCGACTTGATGAACGTCTTCAGGATGCTGTTGGCCATGTCAAAGTCGCGCAGCAGATGGTAGCTCATGGCAAAGCCGATCCAGGAAGCGTGCTGCGAGGGTCGCAGCATGAACAGGTGGTGGCGCGTCTCCTTGTAGCCCTCTAGATCTCGCATTTGGATCTGCAACAGCGACAGATCCTTGAGGATCTGCAGATTGTCCTTCTCCCACTTCAAAGCATTGCGATAGCACTTGATGGCCTCGTCGTACTTCTTGTCGCTGCGCTGCAACAATCCGTAGACATGCCAGCAGACGTGGGAGCGCAGATCGTTGCGCAGACCCAGACGCACATACTTATAGGCCTCTTCCCGACGGCCCAGTCCGTTAAGGGTCAGACCCTTCATGGCCAAAGTTTCACCGTGCTCCGTGTACTTGGAATTGGAGAGGATCTGCTTGGCCAGCTTAAGGCCATTTTTGTACTGCTTCAGTTCGTAGCATTTCTGTGGGCGGAGAAAAAAATTAAAGGAACGGGTAAAGAGTTTAAGGTTTAGTGGGACATCCCGCCCAATGACCGATTTTGAGGTTATGCTACTTTCGGGGGGTCTTTGGTAAGGGGAGTTGGTTTGGCACACAACGGCCGGGAGAGCTCTCCATGCCAGTTGGACATCTTCTTATTGGTTGACTGCTCCTGCTGCATTTGGTGCAAATTAGGCCACTCTAATTTGGCCGGGCAAAAAGCACATGGATGCCGAAGCCGGCCAAGAGCAGAGGGGCGGAAGAGGAGGCTTTCTTTAAAGAAACCAAGACTGAAAGGACTACCCCCTGGCTTACAAGTAGCTTCCGGAAGAGCGCACCCTCCTTGGGCGGCAGGGGATCGCTGGAAGGCATCTCTGCAAGGCTGCTGCTGCTGCTCCTCTTCAACTCTTCCTCTTCTTCGGCTTCTTCTTCTTCCTCAGCTGCTGACCGTGGATTATCGCCTCTGGTCCGGGACTGCGAATTCTGACCGGAATCTGGGTTCGATGTTGCGGATGCTACTCGTCGACTGCTTCCGGAGCGGGATTTCAATAGGCTCTGAGCAGAACACACAAGACACACCACACAAGGCGAAAAACGGCAAACGGCAAACTGCGGGCACGAGCAAATTTCTTACTCGACGTGAGACAGCCACACACATACACGTACCGGGAACCAGAATTATACACATGCACACGTGCGTGCGTTGCGCGGCGAATGGCAAATATCGCTTTCGCGCCTGAGTGAGTGGCAATAACGGCGCTTGTTTTGAAAAGTTCTTGCAGGTCGGTTATGTAAAGCGGTCTCGGTTTTTATCAAAACTGTTTTTTGCGGCGTAGGCGGCGCGTTGTCGGCTTATGTATTTGCACGACAGTTTGCCCCACGCCCGCTCAGCTGTTAAAATAAACTATCAAGTGTAGTGAAATTCAATCTAAAAATATATTCCATAAAGTATCGTTCACCACGCAACGTAATCAGCTGATACAATCGGTCTTATCGAAAACACCAGGCATTACCATATTTAATCGATAGTTGGTCTACGACAGAATAAGAAGAAGAGCAACACCACCGGCAGGAGCAACAAAATATGAATTCTCTGGCCAGGATTGGGGGCTTTGTCTGCCAGTCGGTGCAAATCGCCGGCTGTGGGGTAAGAAACCCGAAAACCAAGTAAATAACAAAACTTGACCCATTCTCTTTCGACGAACAGCTGCAGCAGGTGCGCACAAAGTACGCCGATTGGAAGATGATCCGCGATGTCAAGCGACGCAAATGCGTCCGCGAGAACGCCGTGGAACGGTTGCGCGTGAATTCTCTCCGCAAGAACGACATCCTGCCTCCAGAACTCCGCGAGCTGGCTGATGCTGAAATTGCTGCCTTTCCGCGCGATTCATCGCTGGTTCGAGTGCGGGAACGCTGTGCTCTTACGTCACGACCCCGTGGAGTTGTCCACAAGTATCGACTTAGCCGAATCGTATGGCGCCACTTGGCTGACTACAACAAGCTATCCGGCGTGCAGCGCGCCATGTGGTAGTGACTCCTTCTGTTAGCTTTTTAGACAAAATAAAACATTCTGGGCCAGATCTTTGTTATCGGTTTTTGGCACCTACCTCAACAGCTGACCGTCTATCGATAGTTGTGTTCTTGGACGCTGCGCCGCCGGTTAAGAAATGTCTTTTTAAGTTGCTGTAATCCGACGAATATGTCCCGGAAATCAAGAAAAGGCGAAGGGGGCGCATCTGCCCACCGGGCGCAGATCAACCTTGTCGACTTTAGCTTTTTAGATCGCAAGGCGGAGCTATCCGGATTACTGCAGGCCAAGACCCGTCAGGCGGGCAAAAGTCTGGTGGAGAACGAAGCTGATTTTTGGAAGTTTGTGGGAAAATATGAGGCCATGATGCGTTCTACGGGTCAGCCGGTGTTGCCACCGCTGCTCTCCAGGGAAGAACTAAAGATCGATCAGCCGTATCACCGCAGCAAGCACTTGGCTTTGCGCTTGGATGAGGATACACTGCTTCAGGAGGCAAACTCGGAGTTGCAGGCCCAATTTCGGCAGCTCCTGCTGGTCTACCTGGACTTTCGGCAGGCTGAGAAGTTTCAGCGCATTAAGAAGTTAAGACAGTCGCAACGTAACCTGCCAATTGCCCGTTTTCGAAAGGATTTGCAAAACGCTTTGGACTCATCTCGCGTGGTCATTGTTGCCGGTGACACGGGCTGCGGAAAATCCACACAGGTTCCCCAATACCTCTACGATTTTGGCTACCGCAGCATTGGTAAGTTCTGAAGGATTTCATTTAATTGTTAAGCTATGTAACCATTTAATATTTATAGCCTGCACTCAACCACGTCGATTGGCCTGCGTTTCTCTTTGTAAGCGAGTGGCCCACGAGCTCCTTGACGACTACGGCAGTAAGGTGGCCTTCCAAATTCGTTTCGAACGCAGCCGGACGCAGAGCACCAACATACTTTTCATCACAGAGGGTCTATTGCTGCGCCAACTGGCTGTGACCGCCAATCTGGATCGCTACGATGTACTCATTCTGGATGAGATACACGAGCGCAATCTGTTTGGTGACTTTCTGTTGGGCGTGACGAAGTGCTTGCTGCGAGCGCGACCGCAACTGAAGCTGATCCTCATGTCGGCCACTATAAATGTGGAGCTCTTTCACGGTTTCTTCCGGGAGGAGGGCGCCATACTTGTTCAGGTGCCCGGTCGCTTGTTTCCTATCAAACTGCGCTACATGCCGCCACCAGCTTTGGAGCTTAAAGCAGGACAAGCGACTGCTTCCTCAAAGCGTTCCCAAAGCGCTCGTCTCGATCCGGCGCCCTTTGTCCAGGTGCTCAGCCTCATCGATCAGCAATATCCAAGTGAGTGTAGCTCACCTAAATATATTAAAATCTAAACCCTTTACAAAACTAAAACCCAGCTAGTGAGCGCGGTGATGTGCTAATATTTGTGAGTGGAGTAAACGAAATCGAATCGGTTGTGGAGGCCGTCCAGGAGTATGCCACACAGCAGGAGCATTGGATGGTGCTGCCGCTGCACAGTGGACAAGCGATTGCCGAGCAAGGAAAGGTATTTGATTATGCACCCGAAGGATCGCGCAAATGCATCGTCTCCACAAACATCGCTGAAACGTCGTTAACTGTGGATGGCGTCAGGTTTGTAATTGACTCTGGCAAAGTCAAGGAAATGAGTTACGATGCCACATGCAAAGGGCAGCGCCTCAAGGAGTTCTGGGTGTCCAAGTCGTCAGCGGAGCAGCGCAAAGGTCGCGCTGGACGCACAGGACCTGGCGTAAGTTGAGCTGTAATATTCAAATCCCCGAAATGGGTTGCTTATCTTCACTTTACAATCGCAGGTTTGCTTTCGCCTCTATACCGCTGATCAGTTTAACTCCTTCGAGGCATATCCCACGCCGGAAATATATCGCGTGCCGCTGGACACAATGCTGCTGCAGATGGTTTCCATGGGACTGCCCAATGTCAGGGAATTTCCCTTTATAGAAGCTCCGGAAGCAGAGCGCATCGAGCAGACCATTCTGGCGCTCAAGCAACATGTAAAAGCAATTCTAAAGCAATACCCAAATCAATCTTAAAGCCTTAATTTACAGTGTGCCCTCAGCGTGGAGGAAAAAATCACACCACTGGGGAGTTCGCTGGCCAATTTACCCGTGGAACTATCCATCGGCAAGATGTTGCTCATGGGATGCGTTTTTCCGGAAGTGGAGCAGCTTTTAACTATGGCGGCCATGTTGAGCGTGCAAAACCCATTGACAAATCGCGCGCACACAGATCAGCGTTGCGTTCGCGAGCGTGAATCCTTTGAATCGGATCAGGGAGATCTATTCACATTGGTGCGTCTCTATTGCGAGTGGCTGAACCTTAAATTGCGACGCGATAGCACGCGACAATGGTGCCGACGGCTGGGCATTGAGGAACAGCGCTTTTACGAGGTGACCAAGCTGCGCCAGCAATTCCAGCGTATTCTCGAAAGCTGCGGCATGGTGGTGGCCAGCGGTTCTGGTGGCCAGCTGACCAGCGCTGAGCGCGCCACTCGGCATGGTGAACTTCTTCAGCTAAAGGCTCTCAAGCGCCGAAAACGTTTCGAGCAGCCGCGTCAGCGCAAGCTGCTCAAGCAGCACCATCAAAGTGGCGCTGGTCCCTCGGACGAAGAAGAACGGGATGGGGAGCCGGCCGATGATATGCGGGATGTTGACTTCCGGCTGCGTTATGACCACCGCCAGTTGGCCTTGCTGGAGCGATCGGCACGCCTTGATCGACATCGCGATGTCGTCTTGCTGAAATTACTGCTTTGCAGTGGATTTTACCCACAGTTGGCAGTCGGCGATGAGTTTAACTACTGCAAGGGTGGCGGCCAGCAGTTTTTTCACACGCGTCTCAAGCCCTTTATACTGCAGCACCCCAATTCGCACTTTGCCAAGCACTACGAGCTGCTCAAACTGGCTGACAGTGATCTGCTGCCCAAGCCGGATTTTTATACGCCCAAGCATCCGATTAGTGAACGCCATCAGCTGTTGTGCTATCAGTGGGTATACAAAAAACCAATATAATGGTAGAGTGCTAATTCCAATGATCCACAGATCGCTGCTGGAGACCGCCAAGCCATATTTGATCAACTGTATTCGCTTGCCGGCTGCCCAGGCTTTGCTGCTCTTCAGTTTTGCCATCGACACGAACGCGGGCATCACTCAAATTGTTTGCGATGGCTGGCTTGGGTTGGATCTGCCCACGCCTGGCAGTGGGATGGAGTTACTGAGTCGCGCAATCGAGTTGCGACGCCGTTGGAGCAGTCAGCTCTACTCCAAATTGGATGGTTAGTGGTTTTTTCGTGCCAGTCGTAAACGGTGAATCTAAGTGACCCAACAATTTGCAGATCTCAACAACAAACAGGAGGTAACTCTCACTAGGAGCGAAGTGAGCAGCACGCTCTGGCACGAGCTCCTTGACTTCATGTCGCTGGATGTGGCGTACGCGATTTGGCGTTTGTTGCCCGCCGATATCAAAAGGCTCTATTCTCACCAAGCGCCATCGGCACGACTCATGGAACTTAAGGAGAACCCCTTTGCCGTCGACTATCCTATGCTGGCAAATGCCGAGAAGGGAGGCCTCAATGTTTCCGAGCACGTGGTATACGACTGCTTGGCAGATCAACCGTGGACATTGGCCATGGACGCGGAACTCCGCACGAAGCCATGGAGCTGCACGCGATGCGATTTTGAGCTGGAGGAGTTTGATGTGCTAGAGCAGCTGGTCCATCGACCACATTGTAAGGGTCGCAGGACAAAAGATCGTAACCCCAAGCCCGATAGTCCGGTCGCATCTGCCAAAGATGGACAACCCGCTGCATCCGAAAGCTCCGCCTCACAATCGTCCGATGGCTATTATTGCAAAACCTGCAAAAGCAGCTTGCGGTTGTCAAAGATCGACATTCTGCGTCACCAACGGAAATGTCGGAGTGCCAAGTGATTTCTGTATATATATTTCCATATTTCAAAATGTGACCTTTAGCACTTGTTGAGTCCCAAGTAAAAAAAACAATTAGTTCGTTGGATTCTTTTTATTAATATTTTATTTCAATATTTTATATGTTAGGCAAATTATGCAAAATTATAAAAAAAACGTATATATAAGAACCCTTCTATCAATTACAGTTAGATTACAATTTATAATTATAATTGTTTTGATTTTGAGCTAATTTGAACAAACTGTTCGCAACATTTTTTTTTTGTTTATTTTTATTTTTGTTTTTGGGATTTGAGAAAATGTCTGTAAAGGTGTTTAGCATTTTCGAGATTTTTTTGTTAGTTGCGTTTGTCCAAAATGTAAAGAAAATTTTACAAAAAATAAGTCTAGAGACAAAAAAACGAGCACAATTAAAAAAAAGACGTAAGGTAACTTATTATTTATGTAATACTTTTGCTTATTTAAAACCAAGTATGGGTTGGGTAAATTTATGTTGTGGATTACTCTATCGAATCTGTGCTCCCTAAGTCGAAGAACCCTTTTTCTAGGGGCAAGTATGGGGCGCCTATATTTATTTAAAGCACTGGCTTTAAGTTTTCAGATCAGATTTCTAGGCCTGCCGCAGACAACAAACCATTATCTATTCGATTCGTTTGCCATTCTGCTGCTCACGAGTAAAAATAAAGTAGTTTGGCAGTGCCTAAAAGTACATTTTTATTAAATAAAAATGCATCTAGATGTATATCGCCTATGTGGTGCGTGGAACTAAAAGTACAATCAATATAAATAATAGTAAAAGAAATTGATTTTGAGTGGGAAATATCGTACAGTATGGTTCAGTAAGGTATGGTTCAGTAAGGTATGGTTGGGAAATCTGTTCTTAACTGTATCGTTTACTACTAAGGACAGCTAGCTCTCTGAATTATTCCTCAATATTTCGCATTTCACTTAACGATACTCCTCGTTTTGCTGTCGCCTCTTCGTTTGTAATGGTCTATATTCTTCTTGTATTCATGTTGAATGATTGCTGCTAAATGCCTTGTATATATTTACTTTGCCATCGTAAATAGTTCGGATATTGAATGTTTTGTGAAGGTAATTTAAAGGTAATTTCAATGTGTACGGTCAGACAAACATACATATCGAGTACACATGCATACATATCGTACTTTTTGTTTTGTTTGCTTTGCTTATAACTTTTCTTTTCTTCTTTGTCGTGGTAATTGAGTGTATATTTAATGCCTAGAATTATATACGTAAGTCCATGTACATACAATTTATTTAGTAGGTATATTTTTATAACTAGTACAAGTATCTTTATATATATATCTGCCCTTGCTCTCCTGCCCGCCTTCTTTCTAGACTACATGTATACATAGAAGTTTCAATTCATTGTTTTAATTGCGAATGCAAACTCTTTATGCTAATGCACTTAACAAACTTACCCGCTATGAATATACTTTCATGTAGTTTAATTCCCGATTCGTGGTGGCTTTCGTAAAACAAATAAAAAAAAAATTAAGGATACAATTTGTCTGCTTACACTAAATATATATATATATATATACTTATATATATATATGAATTCATTAATATATAGCTTACGGTGATTAACTGTATGCATTTTACATTTACAATTTTATAAAATTTTGAAAAAATGAATTGGTTTTCTTTTTTTCTTTTTTTTTTTTTGCTGTCGTTGATTTGAAAGTTTCAGTTTGTGAAATATATTTTATAGGATATTTGTTTTTCGTTTTTAGGTTTATATAATTTTAAAATTGTGTATATATATATATGTATATATGTCTCTTCATATACGAGTAATGCGTTTTGTACCAAACTAACTATAGTCTACACAAAAAAAGTGGTGGTATTAAAATGGGGCATCTCCTGCAACTCTTCTCTAAGACAAATTCGGGATTGGCTACCCAAATGATCTTGGAAGGAAGTCCGACCCCTTTCTGTTTTCTTCCTCGTTGAAGATTATATATTATTTTCTGCTGTTTCTCGAATCATCGTTCGCTGTTTTCTGCCTGTGGTTGCAGTTGCATGTTCATCGATTTAATTACTAAAACCTACATCAGTCGTTTGGCACACAAGTCACGCAGTGTCGTGAACCACGGAACAGAATCCCATCCAAATCCAAATCCAATTCAATCCACCTCATCTTCTTTTGGCGACTCTCGCTTTTCTTTCTCGCGTTTCCCGGAGCCACAGAAGCGAATGTGTTCCTTGATGTTCTACCTTTCGATTCTTCTTGGGTCGGTCGACTGTTCCACGCAATCGAATAACCAGAGACTCCACCTCCAAAGTCCTATTACTCTTTATACATAACATATATCATCCCGTGCAGTGTCACTTCGGTTGATGAGCGGTCGTCTGCCAAACTAGACTTCGGTGCCGTCCTCGCCCTCGTCGTCGAAGAGCTGGCTGGTGCTCCCCTGGCCACTCCGCGTCGTCGTCACGGACATCTTCTTCTTGGGCTTCGGCGGCGGTCGCGGCGGTATCTTGGCCATCTTGGGCGAATCCCCCGAGGATCCAACCGGATGGCTCGGCGAGACCGCGGCACTCGACGATGGCACCGGCGAGATGTAGGCGGCATGGCCCAATCCCGCTCCACTGATGCTGGAGCCGGGCAATATCGTGATCCCCTGGTGTCGCACTCCATAGAGTGGCTCCGTGTCCAGGGATCCCAATCTCTGTTGCTGCTGCTGCTGCTGCTGCTGCTGTTGCTGTTGCTGCTGCTGCTGGATGAGCTCGTGGATGGGCTCGTAGATCTTGCTGGCATTCGTCGCCGAGGAAACGGAAGTCAAACTGGGCGTGGCCGGCAGCGGTCGATCCCGCATCGTGTATTGCTGACCACCAGCACCCCCGCCTCCAGCTCCGCCGGCTGAACTGCTGGCCTGATTCCCGGCAATCTTGTTCAGATTCAGGGTGGAATTACCACCGGCGGTGGTTCGCAGGCCGAGATTATCGTACACCGGTTCCGCTTGCAGCTCTGCCGTGGTGGCCGTGCCCGTTTCACTGGGATTCGGGGAGGTGGGGCTCTGGAATTCGCTCAGCTGTATGCCGCCACCGTGACCACCAGTTGCCCCCGAAGTGCTGGGCGCCCAGCTGGGTGCCCGCGGCTTGCGCGGAATGGTCATGTAGCCCTGTTTCATCACCACCGATGAACTGGCCGGCGAGTAGACCACCGGAGCGGGCAGAAACGGCGATGTGGCTCCCAGTGGATGTCCCAGTTGCTGCTGCTGTTGCTGCTGCTGCTGCTGCTGCTGTTGCTGATGCTGCTGCTGCTGCTGCTGGAGGTGATGGTGCTGCCGACTGCTGTTGGCGGTGGCAATCAGAGCGAGGTTCCGCGACTTCGGATGCTGCAGGGTCATGAAGCCATTGTGGTGCGGAGCAGCCAGTGTTTTGGTGCCGTAGATGCCGTGCGGCGTCATGTGCGTGTAGACGGGACTCGTTTGCGACGGCGGCGACCGGATGCCGTAGATGACCTGGTCGGGGATGTTCGACTGGGAGGACTGCATCGAGGGCGAGGTCGGCGGCACGCGGGCGGGAAAGGCCAGCAGGTCCGGCGGCAGGCTGTTCAGGTACACATCCTCCGCGTACGTGTGCCGTGTCCTGGGAGTCACCGTCTTGTCCACAATCACCATGGAGCCCTTGTCGTCGTGGCTCACTGCGGGGAGAGATCGAAAACGGATGTCGGACATCAGTGTCATGAAGTTCAATGTGGTAAGTGTGCTACAAATGCTAATTTTATATTAATATATTTTAAATTTATATTGATTATAGAAAAGAAACTAAACATGAAAGTCGGAAAAATATTTAATTTCTTTTGAAATTTAAATAGCAATGTAATCATTTTAATAAATACACACTTCAAATAATTAAATCTGGAAAATAATGTTATATTTATATCCCGAGCAACTTCTTCAATGATCCTATTGAACTTTAAAGATTCTTTTCCATGTTAAAGGGCTTTAAAACAGAAAAAAAAAACATTGATACAGTTAAGAGATTTTTGAAAAGCCTTTTTTAACAACGAACTCTTTTGTTTTTTTTTTGTTGGAGAATTCCTGCAAACAGAGAAGAAACAAAAATAAACCATTCCGTTTGATTTTCGTTTCGAATTTCATCTGCTGAAGGGGTTTTTCGATTGTCCAGAAGCTCTGTGAAGCGAACGCTGCTTAATCCGTGAACGGGGGAAAATAGTTTTTGACAGGCATTTCCCTTAAAAAATAATGTTTCTTGGATAATCCCTCTCCACGTGGCAGTGGCAGTGGGCAGTGCCACATTGGCACATGTCAACCAACCAACGCTTGTTGATCCAACAACAAATGCGAAATGCGAAATGCGAATGGCGAAACAGCAGAAGTGACACGAGTGCAGGGCATCAATTGCACTCAATTGGCTTTCCCCATTGTCACTGCAACTCAATTGTCAACACCAATTGGCAATTTATTTATTTTATTCTACACATCTATGGAGCTGCAAGAGGGAGTCTTATAAGTGCCACAAACTATCCCGTTTAAAAAGGAGATCTACATACTGAGTAAATAACTCAATAATGCTTCTTCAATTTGGAAAAGAACTCAAATGTTAAATCGAATTTGTAATTATATCCCTACTGGCTACCTAGTTTGTTTCACATAAGATCAGGGTTTAACTTTGCTAATCAACACAGTTTAGTTTAATATTGCCCGTAGACAGAGCAAAGTTTGTTGGTTTGTGTTCCGCTCAAAGTTTGTTTAATTTGCGGAGCGTTTCGTTCGTCTGGCTTGGCGCTCACTAATAGTTGATGAGTTGATGAGCAATTGGAAATTTAAAACAAACATCCGCCGGTGTTTTTCCCTTCCCCTCCCCCTTTTCCTTTCCCTTTCCCTTTCCCTTTCCCTTTCCCATTTTCCTCGCTTTCCCTTCTGATGAGGACACAAAAAGCAGGATGACCAACTGAGTTGCCAGTTTCACGGTGGCAAAGTCATCGCCGTGTTGCCTTTTCCGCGGAAATAGCAAGTGTGTTGACATTGGCGTTAGAGTTGGCATGACTGGTGGCCGGTGGCTGGTGGCATAGTGGTCATCATCATCATTCCATTGACGAGGGTCCCGAAAGCCGCATTCAGATGGACACTTTGGGTAAATAGAGAGTCCCACTTGTGTTGACAGTAACTCGCATCATTTGCTGCTCAACTGCCATCGTGCCACGTTAAATAAGTCATGCAGCTCCTTATTAAATGGCAAACGATTCATTACATTGTCTCTTTTCGGTTCAAAGCCCTTTGTCTTAACTTACAAAATTCCTAAAAGTATATGATCTATATCATATCATTAAAACTATCAATATCTGTGAGATTTGATTAGACGAGCTTGTGTTTTTTCGTGAATAAAAATGTTACTATTTTTTGCTAAATGTATGTGCTTTTGAAATTTCTGTTCCATCTGTCAAAAAGATTTGAAAGCAAACGTTTCTCAAAATATCAGTGTGATATTTATTTATTTGATTTATTAGCTTAAAATTTGCCCAACTACAAAATGCCTTTTCCATTGAAGGAGTCAACCTCAGGCAATATTATGGCCAAGAAGGATCCCATTCGTTACTCGAAGGATCAGAAGCTCTGGAAGTCGAAGGAGAATCTGAAGAAGGAGGCGCTGCAGAAGGACGACGACGATCGCATCCCGTTGGGAAATGGTCCCGATACACAAGTGGGATACAAAATGACTGAGAATTCTTTGACGCAGTTCAATTACTTGGCGCCAGCACTCTTTTATGGCGTACCCCTAACAATTCCATCAGACTGCGTAGATGTCATGCCCCCTCCTGATTTGCTATTGTAAATAGTTGAATTTTAACTTTGTTAAACGTTTATATGCGATTGTTAACATTTCAATTGGAAGTTCATATTATAAAGCCTTTCAAACTATTCTAACCTGATTCCAATACTTAGTAAAAAGCTGCATGATCATCGGTCTCGAAACAGCCAAGTCCCAAAGATTATTTATTGTCCAATTGGACAGCCAAGTTGTCAGTTTCTGAAATCGAAATACCAGGCGAACGGAAATGCCTAGCTTTGGCTTCCCGAAGCTTTCTTGTTTTTTATCTCATTTATAAGTTTTTTTTTTTATCTCATCTATAAATTCGTTATCAAAATATCTAACTAGCATCATTATTTTATTTCCGACAACCTTTTAAAACTTGCAAAAGAAAAAAAATGGATTTGCAGAAAAGTGACTAGATCCCAGGATCTAAGCACATAACTTTTCTATTTTATCCCTGACTTCAGAGTGGAATAACTCTATAAATTTGTAGTTTCATTCCCTATCAAACTGCCTCATTGGTATATTTTATATTTTTTGACCCATTTTTTTTTTTTCATTTTTATGATGCAACCCCTGACGAATTTCCGGTAATTGGGAGTGCAGAAAATTGACCAAAACCCTGCCTGTTAAGTCCGTAACTTTATATTTAATCTCCGATTTCGTAGTTGTAGTTTTACTCTTTAACAAAACTATTATTACTATTAGTACATTTTATGTTTTAGCATAATTAATAGTAACTGAAGTAAATAAGATATGCTCAAATAGTACTTGCTGTCCAGGAATGTTGAAAGCACTCACCATAGATCGTGTCGTCGAGGAGGGTCTTCTTGATCTCGAGTCCGTCGTCGCCGCCGTCGACGCTTTCGATGTCGGTGCGTCGCGGCGGCTTCTCCACGGGATTCACCTCGTTGAGGAGGCTCTTCTGCATCTCCATGATGACGGAGCCCTCGAGCATGGAGCCGTTGTGCGTCTTGTCCAGCTTGGAGGAGATCAGCCCGTCGCCGCTCATCATGGTGGTGTCCTTCTGATACGTTTTTATCCTGCGGCAGTACCAGAAGAGAGCCAGCACGATGACGATGAGCAGGAGGAGCAGCGATGTGGTGATCAGGCAGATGATGAGGAACACGTTCGTCTGCGGATCGATGGTGGGTGCCCCGATCGCCCCGCCCATGCCCAGTCCGTCCGATGAGGCCACCGCACCGGCGTAATCTCCGCTGACGAGCAGTTGGAACTCGGCTTCGGCGCGACCGCCGCGATTGTCGGCCACACAGGTGTAGGCGCCCTTGTCGGAGGCGCGAACGCCGACGATCCTCAGCTCGGAGGTGACCACCTGGGTGGGCTGCTCCGGCAGCGGCAGCTGCGCCACGGAGGTCAGCACTCGCACCCGGGGATCGTAGGATTGCAGCGGTCGCTTGTTGTACACCCAGGTGACATTCGGCCGGGGACTGCCCACAATGCGACAGGGCAGCGATATATTGTCGTGATTCGCCTCCACGAAGGTGCGCACCATGCCCAGAATTCTCGGCCGGCAGGCGAAGTTCTCCGATGGCACCTCGCTCCACAGCTTCCCCCGCAATTGCGGCGGTTCCTGGCAGTCCGTGGGCGGAGTGTAGAGCCTCCTGTTGATGGCGAAGTCCCGGAACTCCTGCAGTTCGCAGCTGCAATTCCAGGCGTTTCCCTGCAGCGACAGGTGCATCAGCTTGAGCAGATCCTTGAACGTGTCCTTGTGCAGATGCGAGAGCCGGTTCTGCTCCAGGGAAATGGCGCTCAGCGCCACGGTGCCTGCGAAGACGTGCAACTGCACCTGCTTCAGCCGATTGTTGCGGAACTCGATCCGCGACAGGTAGCTCAGGTTCACGAACAGGTGATTGGGCAGCACCTCGATCTCGTTGTTGTTGATCATCACGTTGCGCAGTTTCTCCAGGCCGGCAAAGGTGCCCGGATGCAGTTCCCTGATCCGGTTCGAGGACATGTCCAGTTCGATGAGGATGTGCAGACCCTTGAAGGCGTCGCGATGCACCTCCTGAATGGTGCAGTTCCGCAGATAGACCTTGTGCACATTGGGCAGTCCCGCCTGGAGGAACTCCTCGCGTCGCAGCTCGGGTATCTGGTTGTGGGCGAAGTCCAGGACCTGCATCTCGTTGCTCATGTCCTGCGGAATCTTGGCCAGCGCCTTGCTCTTGCAGTCGGCGCTCTTCTTTCCCGAATTCCAGTGGCAGTGGCACGGGCCACAGCTCTGCATCCAGTCGGGGGTGCCGGCCACAGGGGGCGGCACCACCGCCACCAGCATGGCCAGTGCCACCAGGTGGATCACTAGAAATCTCTGCATCGCCCTCGCTCGGGGATTTACTTGGTTTTCTGGGTGGGTTAACCTCTTCGCTAAGCCGCAGCGATGAGCCGCCGAACACGTGCCACACGGTCAACCAAGTGCGGCGCCACCAAGTGCTTGCCGCTTGCCGCTTGCCGCGACCTTTGACCCCGCTGCGAATTCCTGCGAAAATCTCGAAACCTGAAGGCTGTTTACGTGCTCTAAAAAATGTTACTCCTCCTCCGTGGTTCTTCGTCCTTCGTCCCTCGTCGTTTAATCCTTTTGACGCACTGTTAATTTGATTCGTGCTCGTCTCTCTCTCTCTCTATCTCTCTCTATCACTCTCTATCTCTTTCTGGGTTGCTTGTTTATGCCACTCCTTGATCCTTGCGAATGACAAGGCCGTGATTAATTAATGTCCTGGCTCTAAGCTCGCAAATAGCCGTGCTGCTGCTTTTTCCACCTGAAAAAAAACCAAGAAGAGAGCATAAAAATGCGGAAAAATTCAGAGAGTTTGTCAATTAATAAAGTGTAACGCAGAGTGTGTGTGTGTTGGTGTGTTGGGGTGTGTGTGTGGCGTTGGCTTGGGCTAAAGGATATCCCAAAAGGTTGCTAACGAGGCACAAAAAGGTGAGACATTAGCGCAAGGCCAAAAGGATTTGCCTTATTGGCAAAAGTTTGCGGTGTGTGCCATCAATGGGATTGGGTAATTAGCGTGGTATTGGAAATCGCTGCAAAACCAGCTAACACACACACACTTACACCTACATACACACACCCTTACATACAGATGCACATAAGGGGGGATTTATATAAGAGGATTAAGCTTGTCACGACACATAAAAGGTAGGAATCAGGTATTTACACACATGTAATTTTCATGCTCGCAAAAATCTTCTTAGTTGTTCATTTTTCGAGAAATGCCACAGAAAAAATGCACACAAGTTTCGCATTTCAAGCACTTTTAGGGTTTAATGGCCTTTCAAAATCTAATTTCATTTTATTAACTAAAACTATAGCCATGAAAAGATCTCCCTTGATTGCTGTTTTATTTCATGTTTTTCTCTGGCTGCAAATGCATGTGTTGTTTATTTTTCATAAATATAAAACCCAAACAAATAAATAAATGGAGAAAATAAAAGGGGAAAAAAAAGATTTATTTAAATAGTTGCAAATATCTTGAGATTCTAAATTGTTTTTTTTTTCAAATAATTGCACAGAGTAAATGATTGACTTGTTTGGTTTTAAAATAATTCAAAAATTGCTTAGAGCATCTTGATAGCCATTAAATATGATTTTCCTGCTTTGAGCCATAGAAAAAAAATCAAACAGAAATTAGACAAAAATCCTCTGCCTGTCATTTCAGGTCACGTTTATTCCGGAACCGAATGCATTGTTTGCCCAACAATTTGAAATAAAACAAATCCCAATCTCAATTAAACACATTTTCTAGGTGGTGAAAGCCACAAAGAAAGATTTCGTGCAAAATGAGTCAGAAACAGAAAAAAAAAACAGAAAAAAAGCTGGGAAAAAGCAAGGAAAAAAGATTGACAAACGGGACAACAAAGGCTGAAAAACAAGAGTTTGGCTGCTTCATTTCAGGTCCCCCGTTCCGTTCCCTTCCGTTCCGTTCCGTCCCCTTAATCCTTTTCGTCCTGTTCGTCCTGTTCGCCTCCTTTTTGGCTCTTCAGGTGGCCAAAGAGTCGTCCGTCGAGAGTCGCAGCGGCTTGATTAATGAAAATGTTGTTAAACTGTGACAGTTTGCGGCTTCTAACTGACTTGCGGCATCGCCGTCGCCGAGAGCCGCTGCCCCGCCCACAATTTACCCGCCTTGCCGCCCCCTCCGCTTAAGGCCATCATATTGGGTGGAAAAAGGGGGTGGTAGGTGGAAAATGAGCGACCCACCCATCAGAGCTTTTCTTTTAAGCAAGTGCAAACAAGACAAACGAAAATTCCACGGATGAAGGACCGCCTTTTTAGCATTGAGCTGGGTTTCCCCTTTAATTAAGCCCCATTTCGTGACGTCAACACTTTTGGAAGCCAACCAGAAACCAACCAACAAAAAAGCCCGCAAAAATATAAAAGGAAAGGAAAAATCAAGAGCCACGTGCTCGTATGTCGATCCATTTTCCGGTGCACAACAAATATTGGTCTCGCCCCCTCAGAATAAAAATAAAAAAAAAAAGGAACGTATTAAATGCCGAAACAATCAAATTACCAAAAACATTGTGCAGCTGACATAAATTATTTACAAGTGTTATCAGAGAAGGAAAATAATGAAAAAATGCCCTTTTCTTTTTCGCTTTGGATAATACAAATAGAGCAGTTCATAACTAGGTCAATTTATTTTCAATCAACTTCGAGTTTCGACGATTCTTTTAACATTGTTGATTTACTACAAAAACTGGGATGAAAAATATGAAACAATATCATCCTATTTATGTTTACACAAGAAAATCATATTTACTTTTTCTCAAAGAGAACAAGGGATTAATATATTTATTTATTATTAATGTTTGTTTTGTCACTTTCCACTGAAAGCTATTTTACATGAATTTTAATAGGGGAAAAAACATTTAACATAGTAATTCGAAATCAATAATGCTTATTTTTAAGCTGGTTATTTTTTTAATTTAAAATGTATATATTTCCCCGATTAAAATGTATTTTTAAATGTAAAATGTTTAAAAATAAAATTCGCAAATCAGCAATGCTTAATTTTAATCTCCCTTCTCCATTTTCAATTTAATGACATGTCTTTTTTTTTTTATTAAATTGGGGTTTTTATTTTGGTTGTGGCATCTTCTATTTTTGGTTGCCTACTCGCCCAATTATAATTAAAAGTATGAAAATAAACAAGAAATCAATTATTCTGTGTGTTGCGCACATTTTCTGATTGGCAGGAGGGCTTTTTTTTTTTTTTTTTTGGGGGGGCTTCGTGTGGACTGATTTCAAGTTCAAAACTTCAGGGAAAAGTACCGTTCGAGGAGGGGGGATAAATGGGGGGGGGACTTAAGACCCGATTCCGATTCCATTCCATTCCATTCGTATATTCGGTATTCAGTTGGATGGTTTTACTTGGAGTTGTGCCCCGTGTGTGTTGTTTGTTTTACTTTTGTTTGTGCACAATTTTTTGTAATTTTTCCTTCTTTTTTTTTTTGCTTTTTTTTTTTTGATTTTTTTCTGTTTTTTTTTTTTTTTGTTTCTGCTGTTGGCTCTGTGTCAGCGGTTTTTGCTCGGATAGAAAAAACCTCAAAACAAATTAAATATGCAAATAAAAGAAAAGCTGTGCAATTTTTCGCTTTGTTAAATATTTTCTCAATGGGTTTTCGTTTCGTTCGTTGTTCGTCGGTCGTCGTTTTCTGGCAGTTTTATATTTGGTTTCTCATTTTTATACCCTTGCAGAGCAAAAGGGTATTATAATTTCAGTCAGAAGTTTGCAACGCAGTGAAGGAGACACCTCAGACCCCATAAAGTATATATATTCTTGATCAGCATCACCATCTGAATCGAAATATGTATGTACGTCTGTCCGTCTGTCCGTCGGTCCGTCTGTCCGTCGGTCCGTCTGTCCGTCTGTCCGTCTGTCTGTTTCTATGTAAACTAGTCTCTCAGTTTTAAAGCTATCTTGCTGAAACTTTCCCAAAAGTTGTGTAGCTATTGCACGCAGTATATATGTCGGAACGAGCCGGATCGGCCGACTATATCGGATAGGAGCTATCGTATGGGAGCTATCCCATACGAGAGAATGAAATAAAAAATTCTCACGCCGTTGTTTTTGATCAGATCGACTTGAATTCTTCAAGATGCCGTTTTCTAACTACTATTGAATTTCGGTTTAAATTTGATCAAAATCGGATAACTCTATCATATAGCTGCCATAGGAGAGATCGAAAAATATATATAGAAATAATGGAAATAAATTGATAACATCGTTGTTTTTTATCCTACGAGCATGATTTTTTGAATATCAAGTTTTTTAACAACTCTTATATTGATAAAAAAATTTCATAAAAATCGGACAACTATATCTTATAGCTGCCATAGGAAAGATCGGAAAATCTATATTGAAATAACGGAAATAAAATTATAACATCGTTGTTTTTCATCAGGCAAGTATGGTTTTTGGAATATAGAGTTTTGTTACGATTCTTGAATTACGAATTAAATTTGATCAAAATCGGACAACTATATCATATAGCTCCCATATAGTCGAAAATATGGAAAATAAATAGAAAAATCGTCATAGCTTCGATGTTGTTAGGCCTTATGCATTTTGTTCGACATATTTGAGATCTGCAAGGGTATATAAGCTTCGGCTTGCCGAAGCTAGCTTCCTTTCTTGTTTTTTCTTGTTTTTTTTTTTTTTTTTGGTGGAAGGGGTTAGAAAACGCAGGTTGTTTCTCAGTAAACTCAACTGAGCTCCAGTTGCTCAGCCTGAAAGGATGGAATTTTCGTGGGGCGGAAAACCACCAAACTTGGATTAATACCTCAAAACTTTTGAATGTGAAATCGTAACCATTTACTCAGCGCGACCCACAAAACTTTTGAGTTACGCTTTGTATAAATATGTATGTATGTATGCTGAATGTTGAATGTTTTTGGAGTTCGAGTTGCAAAAGCCACTAAATCCTTGCCGTTGTCCCTCCTGTTCGCGCATTAACATTTTTAGTTGGATTAAAAGGGTATATATATTGTTACGGAATAATTATGGCTTCATTTGCATTCGAAAAAGCCGTTGACTTGTGCGTTAATAATTCGAGGAGGAGCCAACCCGAAATGCAATTAATTTTAAGTGTTTTAAACGAAATTCAATTGAAATGTAAATCCCCGTTCTTTGTGATCCCATTTAGTTGGCATCTCTAACTTGCTGTTTTCATTTAATATTCAGCCTTTCATCACTTTTATAAATAAGGCAATAGAAATTGATTGTTTTTATAAATAACTTAAGTCCGTTCGCATTTTGGGTTTCGGTTTGGGTATTGGTTTTCATCTACAAACTGCCATAGAATTTAACGTTGTCATTTTATTGGCAATTGCGGTTGTAATTGCTATTTGGTGGCACGCCCCATATTCAAACTGAAAACTGAGAACTGAAAACTGAAAACTGAGAGCTGAGAGCTGAAAACTGAAGCTGAACTGAAAACTGAACTGAATTGAACCCGCCAAAAGTCCAGGGACTGTGGACAAAATCCATGGCCAAGCATTGTCTATTGTCAGCTTAAATCGATTTAAACAAATTTAATTGCTTTGGTTTCGGTTTTCGTTCATTTTATGGCGCCCACTTTGCTTTTCTTTGTTTTTATTTTTGTTCCTTATTTCGCTCTTTGTTTTTTATGTTTTTTATGTTTTTATGTTTTCCGCTGTGTTTTTCGGTCTCCTTTTCCCTTTTCTCCCTTTTTTTGTATGCCAATTGGCAATGGCATTTTAAGTGTGTCTATGTAACACAAAAGCTGTTGAACC